TGAAATTTGAATGCCAGTATAAAAAAGAGGGGGGTTTCCTATGGTAAATGTGTCTGAATTGATGCATTAAAGCCCCCATCATTGACTTAATGCACAATTACCTCGAGACCAAAGTTTGACTTCTTAACTTAATCCTGTAGTTTGTGGACAAATCCATCTTTAACAGAGTAACTTGTAATTATCTTTTTAAAAGGAATAATGAAGAATCCTTAAAAATTATGAGGTTCTCTAAATTGACTCCCATTAAGTGGTTTCTTCTTGCCTGTTTTCGGAGATTCACAAGGGTCTGTGTCATCAATTTTTCTCATTTTTAAGGTGTGCAAATGTATAAAAAGATGTAATTATGGAGATCGAGGGAAAAATGGTTTTTCAGTAATGAAAATAGGGGTTTCTCCCCCTCTCACTCTCTCTCTCATCTATAGAGGCTTACCATTGTCTTGAAGTTATTTTTTTTAACCAAGCTTTTGTTCAGAAATGTCATTTTTAACTTGTATCCTAACCTAGATTAGGTTTAAAACCTGATATAGGAACTGTAATTGAGTTTATGTTTTCACCCAAATGCCTGCCTTTACTAATTTTCATATTTATAGCATTTTGTAAGCCTCTGTTTTTCAAAAGATTAGTGTCACAAGGGAAGACTAAAGGAATTTATCTCTAAGAGAAAACATTTATTCGGGTATCTAAGTTTCTAAATGTAAGGAATCTGGTGTGACATTTTAATGCCGCCCTTCTTCTATAAAGGACGGCCGCTGCTTTTTCTAATGGTATTTGGAATTGGAAGAAAATGGACATTATATGAATTGTCATTCAACATATTTCTTCTCCCACTGTCATTAAAAAAGTTTTTATGTACATGAGTTTATCCAGTAAATATCCACTGTCATGAGAAGTTATTTTGAAAAGAGGGAGTGTCCTTAAATTAAAGAGAAATTTGTTTGACTGTGGAGTCTAAAACAGCATTATAACCTCTTAAGAAGAGTAAAATGGATCTGTATAAATGTCGGGTCCTTTCACTGAGACAAAACTATTAGGTCAAACAGGTGCTCTGTGTTTAAATAGTCTGGTTAGGTCCGTCTTCCCTGTATTTAGAGTCGGGTTATTTAAGGTCAACAGAAATTTTCTTTCTTTGATTAGTTTAAGAGACTTTACCAATAAAAAGAAAAAAAATATATTTAGGAAGATCTAGTGACGGATCCAGGATTCTTGAAAAAAAAAAGTGGGGCGGCAAACCAGTTGGGGGTCTGGGGCTGGGGTGAGAGCCCAGAGGGTAAAGAATCTACTTCAAGCAAATTTCCTCAGTTTTCAGTAATGTTTCTAAGTTTTATCCATGCATAAATTGATTCATATAAACATCACTATTAGTACATTTGGTATTTAAATCATTTACATACACTCAGTCAATAAAAAATTGATAATATGGTACATTGTAATATTATTAAAATATATTTGTATATGTAATATAAATTAATATGGAGTTTGTCAACATGTAGATATTTTTGTAATAGCATACTAATGTACATGTCAGTCAAACCTGATAATTTTAAACTTAATGGGGCCAAGAAAAACCTTTGAGATATCCAAGGATTTGAGATAATGAGGTTAAAATACACAAAAGAAATAGTATTTAGGACTTCCAACTCGCTTTGACATATCCATGGTATTTGAGATATTGATGTTCTGTATAGATACCGATCGATGTTCAACTGTACAATTGTTGAAGCTCATATTTTATATCTTAAGAAATCTTATTTCAAAATATTGGTGTAGAAAAATTCTAAAAAGGTGATGATATATCCCAGCATGCAGTAAGTACGGCAAATCAAAGCAATCAAATTCTGTCTCGACAGACTCAGTAAGAATGATGGAGGCAATACGATATGTCACATCTGCAAATCTATAAAACAGAAAATAGATTTCCTATGTGTTTCTAATGCAGGTTTTTATGAGGTAACACAATTAGATGCAGATTCTTTGAAGTAATGCTGAAATGCATGCAATATATGCTACCCTGTAGGTGCATTAAAATCAGCTACTGTTCTTTCTTGCAGCTCCATAATTCTTAATGCTTATTTGATTTACAATGGAGATGAAATCTTTACCAAATTAACACCTATTATTTTGGCAGTTGGGTGGCACTAGCTGTTATATATCAGCATGCCATCTTTCTAAGCTTTCAGGTTGATCATGCTAAGGGGAGGGGGAAGCAAAAATAGCACTTTGAAAAAGAATTTCCATTATGCAATTCAATCCTATTTGCACAGGTGCAATAGATTGCAGGTTTATATGCAAGGGAATGTGCATTCATTGAATTTAATTTGCACAGTCAAGTTTGCATTCATTTTAAACCGGTATTTGAGAAGGCTGTTAATGGTTTCAGAGATACGAAGATTAGATCATTGGAGTGGGTTTCTAGTTAAATAGATTTTACTTTAAGATTGTGATTAAATAAGCAGGGAATGTTAACTGCTGTAAAATAAACAAAATCAAGACTATTATAATCACTAAAGATATCTTAATTTATTGACTGGAATTAAGTTTTTAATAAAAATTCCTTAATTAGTAAACTTCATTTATACATATTTTTCCTCAAATCATTCAAATTCTCATTTTATGAAATATATATTTGGCTTCTATGTTAAGTTGAGAATAAAATTGAGCTTGTAGACCACTGAGGAAAATATGAAAGAATGTACAGGGAAACAAAAACCAGTTCTATCAAAAACATGCAGTGTATTCATTATACCAGAATAAGATTGATCACCAAAACTTCAGATTCCAAAGAATTCTTGGTATTTCTATGTAATATAAGCTGAGCTTTTACCATGAAGTTTAAAAGTAGATAGAATTAGAAGTTTTGAAAATATACTAAATGGATTGGGCACATATGACACTAGCTGACGTTCATCTATATACACATGTATATATACAAAAACAGCCATAAATATTAGCTATAGGCATTTGCTACACACTATATATAAAAAGAAGTGTAAAATATATTTCTCAAATTATAATTTTTTTTTTCTCCCAAAGCTTGAAAAATATTCTTTGTGCAACAGTCTTTCTATAATTGATCAGTGATGACTACAGGTGATAAAGGAGACAGGTAATTTTAAGCTATACTAAATTGGTCCTGTCAGACAGTGCTCAATCTAAAGAGGGATGATGATCGCAATTTGTTGGGGGCACCACGGCTCCCTCCTTCAAATTCCCACATTGTTATTTGATCATTTAGAATGTCATCTTTTGTATTGTGTTTTCGCAGGTCTTGATCTTCTACTGTATGGAACTAATAATTTAAAATCAGGGGCTGAAAAGCAGGTTTTCAAACAAAAAAAAAAAAGAACGTCTGTGAAAATCACAGAGAGCTCAAAAACTGGGATTTTCTGTTTAGTAAAATATGCTGTGATAATGGCCGATTAAAATATCTGTTTCATAGCAGTTCTACAAATAATGTCAGGTTCTGTCTATTTTAAGTTACCATTGTTGAGGAATGCTCAAAACATGTCAAACAGAGGAATTCCTCAATAAAGCTTGGAGTTTATCTTAATTTCTTTCTTACAAACTTTATTTGTATTGAATGATTTTATTTATATAATGTGTAATCACAGATATTCTATGTAATTGGTATGGGTAAAATGTGATGATATGAAGATAAGGAATGTCTATCTGAACAGTAATGAATTTTTATTTATTTTTTTTTTTTTGGATTAAGTAAGAAATTTAAATCATTTAACTGACATCTTTCATACAAATTGTTAAGCCATTATTTTCACACTGAATTGTCTAAAATAAGCTTTTTTATGTTCATGTGGAAAGTATGAAGATGTTTATCATTTCTTTTTTGCCTGTAGAAATTACCCAAACGCTAGGAATAATCTTTTTAACCGCCTATTTATTCTTGACGAATTGGTCACTATTGACACAAATTTGTTATTATGGGGTGATGTAAATTTGCCTTTACAAACCAATACAAATATTTTTGCTGCTGTGCATAAATTTATTGATGAAACCTGTAGATTTTAAATTTGCTATGTTATTGAACAGATATTTCATTTGTATCACTTTTTAAATCTATATTTCTGTGTACTATTTCAATTGCATGACATGTAGTAATATATTTAAGGAGAGGAACTAGTAAGTTGTAAGAACTTGTTTCCAATCCTTTTGATTTAGTCAATAAAATATGTTCAAAACATAAGCTAGGAAATTTTCAATTTACCCAATCATGACAAGAAGCACACAGCAGATGTGACCAGTAGACAGGGGATGCTTACTCCTTCATGACACCTGATCCCACATCTTTTTTCAGAGGTCCTTGTTGGCTCTGCTCAGAATTTGTATTGTATTGTTTAAATGAACTTTTGAGAATTATCAATGTTCATTATTTTTACATTTCATAAAGGTGTAGATATTGAGTTTATCTAGTTCATTTTCAACATAGGGTACCTGCCAAATTTCCCAAGGATAAATGTTCAAAAAACAATGAAGCACTAGTGAACAGAAATAACTGTCATTTACTTACCTTGGGAAAATATAAATTGAATTCAATCACTTTATTTCAATTGGTCTTGTATAATGTTGAGAGTACTTTACTCCATTACAAATTGTGTCATTATTCCTGTTAACTATAGAATCCCATTTATTCTATTTTATCCAAGGGCAGTATTTAGGGCTTTCCTATAAATTTAACAAGGTTTCATTTTCAGATGTACTTTAGTACTGTGCTCCTGCTTATCCTTAAATAAATTAAAGTGAAAACATTAAAGGGAACATAATCAACTGACATTAACTGGTAGTTGTAGCAAGAGTACATGTATGCAGACAAAACTTACCAATGACAATGTCAAATTCTGTCACCAAGACATATGAAATGTTGTACATAATGTCACTTGGATATAAGTTAGGGTTAAATGATTTTAAGCTATTCCTAAGAAGAATTTCTTTGACCATGTATTGTTGAAGTTAAAATTCAAGTACAAATTTTTGACATCCTATTCCAGAAAGTTGGTTGTGATGGGATTGTGGGATCCGGTGCGGTGGTGGACCGGTGTGGTGTCTGTAATGGGAACAACCAGGATTGTCAGACAATCTCTGGGATCTACACGAGGGCCTCACTACCTTATGGTTACAACCTCATCACCCGAATCCCAGAGGGAGCTTGTAATATCAACATCACAGAGCTTGGAACCAGCAGGAACTACTTAGGTAAGGGGGTATCAGTACAAGGAGTGTTTATAGGAACCAGCAGGAACTACTTAGGTAAGGGGGTATCAGTACAAGGAGTGTTTATAGAACCAGCAGGAACTACTTAGGTAAGGGGGTACCTGTAGGTGGAGTGTTTATAGAACCAGCAGGAACTACTTAGGTAAGGGGATACCTGTAGGAGGAGTGTTTATAGAACCAGCAGGAACTACTTAGGTAAGGGGATACCTGTAGGAGGAGTGTTTATAGAACCAGCAGGAACTACTTAGGTAAGGGGATACCTGTAGGAGGAGTTTTTATAGAACCAGCAGGAACTACTTAGGTAAGGGGATACCTGTAGGAGGAGTGTCTATAGGAACCAGCAGGAACTACTTAGGTTAGGGGGCACCTGTAGGAGGAGTGTTTATAAGAACCAGTAGGAACTACTTAGGTTGGGGGGGGATACCTGTAGGAGGAGTGTCTATAGGAACCAGCAGGGACTACTTAGGTAAGGGGGTACCTGTAGGAGGAGTGTTTATAGGAACCTCCAGGAACTACTTAGGTAAGGGGGTATCAGTAGAAGGAGTGTTTATAAGAACCAGTAGGACTTACATAGGTAAGGGGGTACCTGTAGAAGGAGTGTTTATAGGAACGTACAGGAACTACAGGTAAACTTCGGTATCTCGATATCGCATATGTCGACAATCTGGGATATGTCGACGTCCTTCCGCGGTCCCGGCAGTATTTGCTATATAAATGATTTGCAAAAACTCTGATATGTCGACCTCGGTAATGTCGACAACCCGGGTTATCTCGACGTATATTCACAGTCTCAAGAGCAAAATTTACCTGGTATATGTCGACATTGGCAATTTTCTGCTCTACTGAACCTAATTGTTTGTCAGATAGGGTCGCTCGTCACGCACGGACGACTCCGGGTATCTCGACGTCGTCAAAATTTCACACCTAAGTTTTGACTGCAGGCTGCTTAATTAATTCTATAGACTGTGTTTGTAGGTGAATCCCAAGCCCCCTTGGCATGTTTGAGAAGTTAATTGCTTAATGTTCAGCTTGGGTAATATCATTGCTAAATTTATACGATTCTTCGTAAATGTACAGGCGGTTATTTACATCGAAACCTAACATAACTTTGAAATTTGAAAAAGGTAGCTAAATTACAATGAATAGTAAACACACTGAATAATTCAAACTAAGGAATTAAAAGATGTTTTAATGATATTTTGTAGTTAAAATGTATTCAACAGGAAACAATCCAATTAACGACACGATTGACCGTATCAGCCGTTATTCATGCATCTGTAACAACACTACGTTAGTTTAGATACACCAATCTCTTTAAAAAAAATTAATTTTAATGTACATTCTTCCTGAATGAAATAAGAAAAAAATAATCTGCATTTAATTTTTTCCCGTATATCGGATGTTTTATATGGTTCGAAGTGTATAGAGCGCATTTCTTATCCTGTTTTGAAAAAAATGCAAGTTACACGTACGCAAATGCTGTAACTTTGTGAATTTAGAAAGATTTCGATAAAGAACACGTTTTATAAACAAGATTTTTAAAATAACTTTTTTAGATTTTAAATAAAAATAGAGGGAATTCTGAAATATGTTGAGCTACAGTCTATATTGATATCATGTACATATAATAAGCTTGACTGTTTCGCTATGCAGTGAAATCTTGGACGTCAATTCTCAACTCTGATATCTCGACACCTTGGATATCTCGACATTTTCCGATGGCCCCGTCGATGTCGAGATAACGAAGTTTACCTGTACTTAGGTAAGGGGGTATCTGTAGGAGGAGTGTTTATAAGAACCAGCAGGAACTACTTAGGTAAGGGGATGCCTGTAGGAGGAGTGTTTATAAGAACCAGCAGGAACTACTTAGGTAATGGGGTACCAGTAGGTGGAGAGTTTATAGGAACCAGCAGGGACTACTTAGGTAAGGGGGTACCTGTAGAAGGAGTGTTTATAGGAACCAGCAGGAACTACTTAGGTAAAGGGGTACCTGTAGGAGGGGTGTTTATAGGAACTAATAGGAACTACTTAGGTAAGGGGGTACCAGTAGGAGGAGAGTTTATAGGAACCAGCAGGGACTACTTAGGTAAGGGGGTACCTGTAGGAGGAGTGTTTTTAGGAACCAGCGGAACTACTTATGTAAGGGGGCACCTGTAGGAGGAGTGTCTATAGGAACCAGTAGGAACTACTTAGGTAAGGGGGTACCTGTAGGAGGAGTGTTTATAGGAACCTCCAGGAACTACTTAGGTAAGGGGGTACCTGTAGAAGGAGTGTATATAAGAACCAGCAGGAACTACTTAGGTTAGGGGATACCTGTAGGAGGAGTGTATATAAGAAGCAGTAGGAACTACTTAGGTAAGGGGGTACCTGTAGGGGGAGTGTTTATAGGAACCAGCAGGAACTACTTAGGTAAAGGGGTACCTGTAGGAAGAATGTTTATAGGAACCTCCAGGAACTACTTAGGTAAGGGGGTACCTGTAGAAGGAGTGTATATAAGAACCAGCAGGAACTACTTAGGTTAGGGGGTACCTGTAGGAGGAGTGTATATAAGAACCAGTAGGAACTACTTAGGTAAGGGGGTACCTGTAGGGGGAGTGTTTATAGGAACCAGCAGGAACTACATAGGTAAGGGGGTACCTGTAGGATGAGTGTATATAAGAACCAGTAGGAACTACTTAGGTAAGGGGTTACCTGTAGGAGGAGTGTCTATATGAACCAATAGGAACTACTTAGGTACATGTAAGGGGATACTTGTAGGAGGAGTGTCTATAGGAACCTCCAGGAACTACTTAGGTAAGGGGGTATCATAGGAGGAGTGTCTATAGGAACCTCCAGGAACTACTTAGGTAGGGGGGTATCGTAGGAGGAGTGTCTATAGGAACCTCCAGGAACTACTTAGGTAAGGGGGTACCTGTAGGAGGAGTGGCTATAGGAACCTCCAGGAACTACTTAGGTAAGGGGGTACCTGTAGGAGGAGTGGCTATAGGAACCTCCAGGAACTACTTAGGTAAGGGGGTACCTGTAGGAGGGGTATTTATAAGAACCTCCAGGAACTACTTAGGTAAGGGGATACCTGTAGGAGGAGTGTCTATAGGAACCAGTAGGAACTACTTAGATTAGAGGGAACCTGTAGGAGGAGTGTTTATAAGAACTAATAGGAACTACTTAGGTAAGGGGGTACCTGTAGGAGGAATGTTTATAGGAACCAGTAGGAACTACTTAGGTAAGGGGGTACCTGTAGGAGGAATGTTTATAGGGACCAGCAGGAACTACTTAGGTAAGAGGGTACTAGTAGAACTACTTACTTAGGTAAGGGATAATAGTAGGAGTTCATATATTACAAATAAGAGGAAGCAGGAACTACTTAAATAAGGTAACAAGGAGTGTTTATATACAGACATCATTAAACAGCAAAAACTGTTGAAGTTTGGAGTAGGAGTGATGTAATATAACAGCTAGAAACCAGCAGGTATCTTAGTCATGGAGTTAAAGACATAAAATGTCAAAGAGCTGCAATGTAGGAAATAGAAGGAACCAGCTAGGTAATGGAGTAAGGGGTGTTTAACCGCACAGAGCTAGGAACCACCAGGAATTACTTATTTTAAGGAGTATTTATTTTGATACATTGCCTTCCTAGCAATTTTCCTTACCAAAGGTTTAATGCCTAAATAGTTATTTTCCAGCAAATAAGTGTGAATTCTAGCCAAAAAGAAGATATGTCATGATGACTTGCATATCCAACAAAATATACAGCATTATATATAATGGCAAGGTTTATGTAAGCTTGATATATGATATTTCACACATTTTTTAATCAGCAGCAGAAACTATTATAGGCAGCCTAAATGGCTTTAGGCAGAAATTGTAGCAAAGCATTAAAAAGATATAAAACAGGGTTCCTTCAACTTTAGACACGATAATGCAATGATTGTCATGACCAAACATAACAGTTCACGTCATTGGGTCATTATTTTCAGGAGAGGGCAGATATTTGACAATGACCCTGTTCTTTGTAGTACTGGACAAATGTCAGGTTCACACAGATTGCAGAAGTACCAAGTTTTTTTCTCACACCTGTGCTATAATGGTTATAAATATTTTTTTCTTATGTGCATTGTAAATAATAGGTCACTCGATGAGTAAAGAAGGGTGTCCAAGATTGCAAGTAGAGAAACATTGTCTTTGTGGGTGCAAAAAAAGTGTAGGAATTGCATCATAATTCACTTAGCTTTTAAGTGTACCTGCACATTTATTATCAATTTTGAGAATCTATATTTGTCAATGGAAAGAGGAGATATCTTTCCATGAATTGTCAACTCTGACAAATTTTATTTTATCTTTTCATTAATTGCCCTCTGTTTGCATTAATTTCAAATTTGGGGTAAAGGATGGGCATCTTTAAAAGCATTAGCATGTAATAAGGGAACTCTCTGTTTATGAGAATACTTGCATCAAAAGGCTTTTTAGAGTTGTGCAAACTAAGTAATCTGCCTAAAAACCTTTTTATTTATGTTTTGTAAACCAAAAGCTTTTAGACTTGAATAGCTGAGCTATCTCTTTTTAGTTGTTTAGCTAAGACAGCAAATCATCTAGGTGTGAAAGGGTGACAGGTCAAGATTAGATTAAAGCAAAATTTTCAGGCCATTGGCTTAGAACAAAAAAAAAAAAAAATTTAAAATGTGAGGTGTCTCTATGGTACACAAGGTTTCTCATTATATCTAGCAGGGTAAGGTACAAAAGTTTAATGGTCTTAACTGAATCCTGTCACTTCCTATTGTAGAAATTAGGTGGGACGATTATCCACCTGCTAGAGTGCAGACTGCAAGCAGGTGTATTAGTAAATTAATGCATTTTAAGTTGCACTCCCATACCCCAAGGATTATGAATGTTAGTTTTAGCTGAATTGAATATAACTCTGCATATCTGTGAAATTTTTGCAGTAGATAAGAATTATCTGTAATTTTAAAAAGAAAGATTCACTGCGTCATAAACAGCCATCATACAATAAATTGAACAAAATAAGCTTAAGCTTTAATTATAATTAAGAGTGTGGGGTTTTTTTTTCTTCAATTTATTGGTGTCAGATTAGAAAAATTTCCTGCATGTTGTATTTTCATATATTTTGATTGGGCAATTAAAAAATGTTTAGAATTTTGCTGTACAAGAATAACAAATACAGGAAGTTTGTAGGAGAGGAAGTTGTGAAGTGAGAGCATTATATTTTAGGAATAGGTTTTGATCGTTAAGATGTTGACCTTTAAATCTTGTTAACCTCTTAAGTGATTTCCCAATATTGTACTGTAAATACTAGTAGATACCATTCAGAATTATATATTGATGGGTCTAAATTAAAATTCTAGCTTACTTTTGATCAGTTTGTGACCCCTTTGCAACCCCCCTCCGCTATCCCAAAAACTGAAGAAATAAAATACAACATGGTAAACATGCAGATGATCAATTTGTAGAACCAATTATCTTTATCTAAACTCTGCAAATATGCCCAATTAAGTCAAATACAGTTGAATTAACTAAAAAAGAAAGTATACATTTGCTGTAATTTTTTTCTAGATATATTCATTATTCTGTATATTGATGTCTGCATTGTAGCACAATTTTTATTGATTTTAGGTTAAGCACTATAATGATTAATGCTCATAATTTGAAGCCATCTGTATTTAAAAAATAAAAACTGAAATATTTTTTCACCATACAATTTAGAATATATATATGTGTGATATACCTGCTACCTATTTAAATCTCAGCAGGACTTCTAGTCTCATTATTTTACCGCTCCCTATTGATACATAAGTCACCCCGTCTGACTTCATTTCTGCTCCTCCAACCCCGATAAAACAAGGCCCTTTGCAAACACATTTATTACACAAGTTCGACAGTTGGCGGCCTCAAATCACATTAAGATTGTGTCAGAATTCCAGAAGACAACATTTGGTGTTGGCTGTGAAATGGTCCGATCCTTTAAATAGGTAGGGTCCCCGGGGTGAGAGCTTCATTCTGGCCAACAGCTCTCAGGTTAAATACTGCCTAATGTTAATAAATGTGACAGTCCTGTTACAGCCTAAAGAAGTGCAGAGCTGTCTACACAGTAAAGGTCATCAAAAGATTATCAATAAATTTACACTTGTCCAAGTTTTTCTGTTTAAAAAAACAAACTGGATTGTAACCTTTTCATTCAATTTATCATTGCTGATAAAGGTGTATGGTAATTTGGTTTTATTCATGTTTTTAAGCAAACATTCTCTGCTATTGCCAGGGTCGCTTGCTTCTCTTTCATGACCTGTTCATATTTATTTCTTTATTTGGTTATCTTGGTGAGAATGCATTCAAAAGATCAAAAGCACTGATTGGGTAACTGTTGATCCTTGGCCAATCAATCATTGCATTTGTTTGTAGTCATTAATTTTCATTTTAAGACAGGTGTATGTGGAGAATTACATTTTGACTTCTTTCCCACCAATACTGAATTAAAGTTTTAGCACTTGATATGATGTATAGTTTCTATAGGTCTGATTATTAGTTACCTGTTCATTTTGTAATTGTTTCAAGATAGCATTGCGAATTATGGTTCTTTAGCTAGTGTTAAGCACATTTAAATAGATTTTTCAAAGTGCATTTCCTCATACCAATTCTTCCAATAATTCTTCTTGCAGATGAAAAGTCAGGTATTAATTTGAGTATTAAGAAAAAAAAGAAAGCACAGATGAAATTTATATTGGGGGTGGGGGTGGGGGGAGTTTCTGAAGGTGTCTGCTTCATTTGTTTGAACTGAACATTAATTATTGGGCCATTTCTGAAGGTCTATGAAACATCTTTGTTGGCAGCATAATAACTAACATTCCAAAATATTCAAAGACCTGTATTTTAAATAAATACCATTTAAAATTACATTTGGTGGTCAGGCAGGTTTGTTCATAAGTGGCCAGGTACTATGGAATCATCATTGTTCATTGGGGACAATGACTGTGGATTTTGTGGGTCTCCCTTGCCTACAAATTTACATCCCCTTGAACAAACTTTGTTTTAGCATTGAGTAATTGAATCTTTTGTATGTTCCTGTTACTCACGAAATTACATCCCCACAAAACAGTAAAATTTCTGTTACCAATGAACATTGACCCCCACAAATTAAAATGATACGATAGTAACTGAATTAGTAGTTTACCTGTCCAGAGTTCAAGGGACCTGGATTTGAATCCTGGGCCCCATTTTACAAAAGAACTTACGACTAAGACCAAAATGTAATTTAGTGAATAACTTTCCAATTTACATTTATTTGAAATGGCTTTAATCTTCTAAATAAAGAATCAAGAAAGATATTTTTATGCAAGCAGTTTTTCACAGAATTGTTCATTTTGCAAGAATTTACAATCAACTTAACGTTTTGGTCTTAGTCGTAAGTTCTTTTGTAAAACGCGCCTCTGGTCTTGTCTATCACATTTCCTCCCTTCCTCTTACATTTTTTGCCATGCCAAGCTGGTGCAAGGCTTACTAGAGAACAACCTTAGATGGTGTCTTCAGGGGTGAGCTAGGTATGAAATGAATTACGGAAGAATGTTGCATATGGGCAGGCTTGTTTGCTCAACCGTTAGAGCACTTGTCCAGAGTTCAGAGGGTCCTGGTTCAAATCCTAGCTGCTGTAGTCCATCCATATTCTACTTTCTTGATACACACAGTTTTTGGTAGTTCTTTCTGGTATAAATATATTCTGAAATCAGTAATTATAGATTTGATACAGTTCAATTGGTACAGTTAGGCGAGGTTATATTTTGATTACCGTGAAACTGCATTTAACTAATAAAGCTGAAACACTAGTGATGTTTTTTTGGTGTGATCAAGAACTTTTCTATTAATCTTTCTTATAGCATTGAGACTGCAGAATGGCAGTTACATTACGAATGGTCGTCGGCGCCTGAGTAGAGTCGGGGAATATGAGGCAGCAGGAACGACCTTCATCTATAGGAAGAGAGAGGGGGTGGGATGTCCGGGGGAGTGTGTTAGAGCCAAGGGACCTGTAAATCAGACTGTTGATGTACAGGTATGTCAGGATCAAGGCATAAAATCAAATTTTCATGGGGTTTAATTTTTGTGGTATGATGGGACCCATGAATTCATATCCCCCATGAAATGGGAAAATTCCTTACTGCTATATATTAGGTTATCTCCTTGACCATGAAATGAAATCCCCTCATGCAGTTAATTTTTCCTCAAACCACAAAAATTTGACCTCATGAAAAAAAGTGATTTTGCAGTATTATATAATTATATAATGCCTAATCAGGCAATAGAGAAAAGTATATTTTCAGAGGTGCTGGGAACAGTTCATTGTATTCTAGTGCCCAAAGCCAACAGCTGAAGGTGATAGAATATTGAGCTGTTTGAGTACTGGGAGAAATATATTCCAATCTGTTGCCTGATTGGGCATTTGATAACTGTTTTATTACAGGATAATACAGTTTCAATGGCAAAAAATAAAAGGAATATTTATAAAAGTTTTGAACTTGGAGTTAAGATAATGCTGCGAGAATAAGCTGAAATCCTGATGACGTTACAATGCTACTGAAATCAGGATAACATATCATCTGTCTATAGATTGATTGCATGCCAGGCAATATCTTTGCTAGCCAAGGGTTTCCGTAGTAGATTTCGGATCAGAAAACCCTTGGCTAGCGAAGATGGCCAGGCAATAGATCGCCATTCAATACATAAAAATGCCAAAATAGGTAAAAAGGATAATACAGTCAATATGCTAGAACAGTAAAAAGTGTAGTATCAGGTAATTAAAAATTGCTCTGTGAAAGGAATGATTCCTGTAAATCTATACTTTTATTTTTGTTTGTAGAATTTTTACAAGATTCACTATTTAATATATAACAAACAGAATACAATGTACCTAAACTATATATGATGTATGATATCGTAGCAAATAAGTTAATATCAAGAGTCAATGAAATCTTGGATTTATTTTGTATTAACCAGCATGTAAAGAAATGTGTTGAAGTTGGTTTATCATTGTTGATGCGTCTGACTTTAAAACTAAAAATCTGTCTAATATGTCTACTAAAAGTTTTCTAAATGTTATAGATATTTAAATTTGTTTCAAACAAATAAAGCTGGCTTTAATTTTCAGAGTAATTTTTGATTGTATTGTCACCAATTATCAATAAGAGAAATATCTCATGGTTTCAGCTGTTGTACTACAGAAATAGTCCCGGTATCTTGTACCAGTTTACAATTCCTAAACACATGACAAAGGCAGCCATGGAGGCCATCATTCCAAGACTGAAGGCAGGGCACCAGTTTAACCAGGCTGTAGATCAACCTGTGGCAGATAGCAGTGGGAAACCAGTTTATCAGACAGGGTATGAAAATATCCCCACAGGAAGTGGTGGTTATCCTCTGCCCAAAAGTTACAGACCCAGGATCATTCCAAAAATGAGGACCTCCGTGCAGTCCCCTCCCAGATACATTCCATATGAAGATGTAAAACCTGAGCTTCAGAGTTTGACCTTAGGCAGAAGCAGAAATCTGAGTGATTCCCAGTACCGGCTTTACTCCTCATATTATGGACCATACCGTTCAAATCAAGCCGTGTCTGGAGATTATGGCAGACGATATGCCACCAGTCCAATAGGAGAAGTTCAGGAGAATGCAATCAGTCTGGGGAATTCTATACAGTACAACAATGTGTTGGACAATAAACCTCGTCTCTCGGCCCAAAATATCCCTGATCCTACCCTTTATGAATGGAGGATTGTGGGATTCACTGAATGTTCCCTAACCTGTGGAAGAGGTAAGCTGAGCATTGCTGAGTAGGATATTTTTTCAATGGTTGGTCAGTTTTTTTTTCAGTTTTACAGAAGAATGGCATATAATGAGCAGAAAGCCCTCTACAACAAATATAAAACTGATGCCTTCTGGACCAGGTATCCGAATCCCTGAGGTCAGGGCTAAAGTTGATCATACATTGAAATTTATCTTCTTTACTCCTGAACTTCTAAGAGATGAGCTGCATGATTATAATAATAGTCACAGAATCCCTCATGAAACTGTAATATTTTTGTCGCAGAAGTCCAGAGCAGTCTTAATTGGCCCAAAGTGCTCATAGCCTGTGAAACTCATGATACCCTAAGGTGACTTTCAAGGCTCATATGGGCATCATGTCTTTAAAGAAGTTAGCATATTACTATAAATGTGTGTAGTTTGCAAATTCATTCATGTTAAACATATCAGCATGAATTAGATTTATATTTATCTCTGTATTTTTTGTTTCCTGTATGACGTAAATCTATCAAATAAAATTGACGATATCCTCAATCTGCAGTGAATAAAGATAAATCATGTGAAGCATAAACTTTTATCAATGGCTTTATCTGAAAATAAGCAGTGGTTATCTGTGATATAAAGAATATGTAGGTCATATTCAATATTCACATTGTGTTGGTTTAAGTTTATCTGAAGAATACGATTTGACATTAATGAGAATTTTAATGTAATCGCATCCACAATATTTGTTGTATCAATGACTGGAGTTATTTGCCGTCATTTCTTATCACAGATGCCATCAAATTTGTTAATCCGTAGGGCTAAAGCTTAGTTTTCTCATTACAGCAATAATATAGAACTTTGACAAAAAAATGTATCCCCTGGTATATATATAATTTCAAGATTCCATCATTATGGCATTAATCTTACAGGGTTGTTGAAAAACTTTGACAAACAAAATATATGTATGTCACTGGCTTCCATTAAAGAAGCATGGAAAAGATTTTAGTGAAGTATTTTTCTAAATTGAAATTTAAAATAAATGCATCCTGAAACAGGTGTCTAGCTTTTTGTGTTGAGGGTTGAAAATATCTTTAATTAAATTTGCAGATACTGGGTTGTGTCCCCTTTTACGTGGCAATTTAATCCCCCATTCTGTAAAAAAATCTCTTTGTAACAGTATTTAATTTTTTGGGTGTAACATATTGTGTAAATTTGATATATTATATCACATAACTTTTACTGATGGTTGAGGGAGATAATGGTAGATGTTTTCGAGTACAAAATTATTTTCAGTCTCATATCTGTATGGGGTTAGAGCCTCATGCAGTCCAATCAGATATATCAAATTCAGTTGCCTTTTGAGAAGTCAAGGTTTTAGAATTAATTTAAGAGACTCGTAAATAAAGCATTTCTCCCATTAGCATGATTAGTGATTTACCCTATTCCAAGGAAAATAGAACTCTTTAGGGTGGGGAGATGCAAAACTATTGTTGTTCTGCAAAAGCTATCATTTAATTGGTGTTTGCTATGCCATATTGCTTGATACTGTTTCACTCCTGCTAAATATCAGTGATTTTACAAGTTCCTTTTTTTCTTCCACTTTTTAGGGGTACAGCAAACTAAGGTGGTGTGTGTGAAGAAGGACAGAAACCTGATTGTTACTCATGACAACTGTGTTCCGACCGCTCGCCCCGCCATACAAACCATTGAATGTAACACCAGAATCTGTCCGCCTGGGTAATGATCAACATTTTTTTTTTTTTTTTTTTGCAAACTTAGAGCATTCATGAAATTAGTGAATGAATTTTCATTCATGAATCAATGCATTTTTATTCATTTTCTTAGCAATTTTTTTTCCTAAGTATTATAAATGCCACTTGAAGAGACATTTAAAGCTTTTTCTTGTGCAAAAAATCTTTATGAATTAACTGTAACATTTTTACACTCTCTCTGTCTCAGTCTGAACAGAGTGAAATTGATGCACTGAGAATTTTTCAGTAGAAAAGTACAAAAGTAATAAAAACAAACCTGTTGAAGATCTCGTTTGCGTGTCTTGTTGGAGATTGTATAGTAGTTAACAGTTGGAGTGATGGAGTCAGATAGAAAGTGAAGGGAAGTAATGAGCCTTCTGTCAAATGTTATCTAAGCATCATCAATCTTTTGTAAATGATACTGTACAGAGAGGGGTAAGATACTTGTTGAAATCATTAAAATTGTTTAGAATTGTTAAAGAAGCTTAATGAGTTTCTTTTTTCTCACATTTTCTCACTTCTAAAGTTTGATATACTGGCAAGGATGATGAATTGAAAACAATGGATCATTTACCCTAATAACTTCTAATACGTTGAGCATATATTGCTAAAAAAATAATTACTGGTACATGTTTTATAAATTCATTTGTCTTTGTGAAAGATTATTGTTTAAGAAAATGGTGAATACCATTTACTAGAAAATTTTAAGTCAAAATTACTTCAACTCTCCACAGTTCCATTGACAAGGGAATTATTTCTATTCTGCTACAGCGAATATTTAAATTTCTGTTCAGAGAAATGGAGAAGTAGATGTCGACATCAACATGAAAATGAAGTGCCTTATTATGTCACAATTGAATGCTACTCCTCGTTTATTTGCACTTCATGCATTAGAAAAAGTACGAGGTAATCCAAATCCCAAGTAAATTTTTTCCCCACTAATTTGCATCTCAATCAAATGAGGCCTCAGTCCTTTTCTTAATAAGAGCAGTCAAAATTAGAGGAAACTGATTTGAAGTTGATGATGTTTGTAATTTATTGGAGAATATAATGGTCGCTGCACTTCTTTCATCTTTGCAATAACTGTAGTAGAATATATTACTTAAGGAAGGATGAATGACAATTTACTAGAAAATTTGAAGTCAAAATTACAATGCCATAATGAAGAGACCAACTAAGTCGTACATGTACCAGTATATCATAGGGAGAGACTTGAAATCATCATGAAGACTAACTAAGTCGTACATGTACCGGTATATCATAGGGAGAGACTTAAAATCATCATGGACTCCTTGTTGATGGATTTAATTTAAATTTGGATTTCTTCTGATAAAGAAGATTTGACATTTTGTATGATTTGTAGTCCTTTGCTTCGTAAAAATTTTCACTTCCTGTTCTATATGTATGAATAAAAAATAATTCTAAGTCTATTTAAGAAGAATTTAAAGGACAGAAGGAATTTACGAATTCAGTTGTGCTCTCATTTGGCTTTGTCTTGATCATTATAGATTTTTTTTTCTTTAGACATCTCTTTTGATGATGAAAAGATGAATCAGTTAAAATAGAAGCATGACCCAAAATCAATATTTGGTTTTTGAGTCCAAATGACTGAATTAAGATTTAAATTGACAGTCTTGAGAATTAGACATTAATGATTGTTATTTGAGATTTTTTATCCATCCCTATTGGGTCTTTTCACATTATATAGTTCAGTCAAATCTTTTTACGACTATAACATGATCTTCTACATATTTTAACACAATTCTCTAATGTTCTTCAAGTGTAAATATGTCACACAATTGATGTCGTCTTTATTTTCAAGATATCAGTAATATTGAAGTGGGTGTTCTGCACTTCAGTTTTAATAGATTATTTAGATGGCAATTTCAGACAAAAATAAATTTGATAAAGGCATTAAAATCTCTAGTTTATATTCATGCTTTAAAATGATTATGCTGTGTACTGAACAATTTATCATTATTCTTGATTTTTATGCCCCCCTTCGAAGAATGGAGGGCATATTGCTTTGCTGCTGTCTGTCTTTCAGTCGGTTTGTCTGTCAATCCACCAACAGTTTTCGTTCATTTTCTTCGCAGAAGTTGCACGTCCTGAAATGAAATTTGGTATGCAGATTTATCATAAGAATATCTAGGTCAAGTCCTGTTTTGGGTACGATCGAGCAATTTTTGACAGAGTTATGCCCCTTGGACTTAGAAAAATTCCAATTATTTGGGGGAGGGGGGCATAAGTGTTTCACAAACATCTCTTAATTGTTTTTGGAAGGGGGGGGGGCTAAAGAAATACAAGCTGTATTTTTTGGTTTTTGTAGAATTTTATTTTGCTGTAAAATGTAAGGCTAACATACGAGGGGCATTTCAAAAGTTCTGGCAACTGGTGTGCGGTAAATTAATGAGCGTCATTATTATAAATTAAATTACATCAATCCCTCAAAATAGTCTCTGTTGACCTGGACACACTTTTTTAGTCTTGAAATCCACGTGGAAAATGCTGCCCTATAGTCCTCTTTCGGTATACGCTTCATACACTGGAATACGGCACTTCCGACTGCATGACGACTTTCAAATCGCCGTCCTCGGAGGGCTTCTTTGATAACAGCATTCAACCAAAAATCGCATGGAGCTAGGTCAGGACTGTAGGGTGGATGTGGTAAAACGGCAATACCATTTTCCTTTAAATATTTGGTTACTACCTCTGATCTATGGGCAGGTGCGTTAATTGTCATGGAGGAGCTTTATTCCTCTAGTACTGGTTGTTGGTCGGGTCGTTTTATAGTGCTCTACAACCTGAGACAAGACATTCTCTGCATAAAATTGACCAGTAACACTGCTGTGTTCTGGAACCGGAACTTGAGCAACAGGGCCTTTAGAATCAAAAATAAGGCGTGCATTACTCTCCGGACAGACCAGTTTCTGCATGCAATTTGAGGCCTTGTATCATTTTCACCAATCCAAACTTTATTATTGAGCTTAGTTTCCGGTTCAAAAAAATATATCCATGTTTCATCACCAGTTACAATCTCATTTATTTGCCTTTGGTCACAATCTTCATAAATTGTTAGTAACTGTGAAGCCATTTCTACCCGGATGCGCTTTTGCTCTTCCGAGAGAAGATGCGGCACCCATCTAGCAAAGACTTTCCTAAGCTTTAAGTTTTCCTTTAAAATACGAAAAACTGCTGACGAATTAATGTTAGTTAAGTCTGCTATTTCCTTAACTGTATATCTAGCATCATCAGCTATCGTATTTTGAACAGCGATGATTTCTTTTTCGCCATATGCACAAACTGGACGCCCTGAACAGGGGTCGTCTTCAATTGATTTTCTACCCTCTTTAAATTGAACTACCCATCTTGCTATTGCTCGATATGAAAGAGCATGCTCTCTTTATACTACATCTAAATCGGCTTTTATTTCTGTTGCCGTAAAGCCAAGCAATGAGCGAATTTTGCAATACGCTCTTTGCTCAACAAAAAAATTGTTCTCCTTATCAGTCATTTTTACGCCCAGTATACAGAGTATACCTAATCATGATGTCATTTTAGCAGACCTATACGTCATTTTGAATGTAAAATGACGTCACTGCTAATGCATATTTGCCTAAGCTTTACAGTGGTATCAGAGACATTTTAATCCGTAACGTTGTTAAAATTTTATATACCAGTTGCCAGAACTTTTGAAATGCCCCTCGTATTAGGATAATAATTCTGTACTTCACTCATGCAACATATGTCAGAAGAAAGATTTTGTGTACTATAGAACATTGTAGTACATCTGTATTGTATAAGAAATCAATTTTTGTAAACATACCTGGTACAATTTTACGTCAGTCAGAGCTTCTAAGTTTTTTTAATGCAAATATGAATTACAGAAGTTTACAAACCTTTTTGGCATTGCTTTAAGAGTCATTTCAGTTGAAGATATTGTATTCTTATTTTTTAAGTTCATTAATGTTTTAGATGGGACATTGGTAATTGGTCAGACTGCAGTGTTTCCTGTGGGAGGGGCATGCAGACACGTCCTGTAGTCTGTGCCCAGAGGATTTCCTCCTCCTCCAGAATAGATATACAGTCCAGCAAATGCCCGTCCCCTCGACCTGAATCCTCACGATCCTGTATGAATAAACCATGTGCTGAGTGGAAAATTGGGGAGTGGCAAAAGGTAAAAGACGGGGAAACCATGTTTAGGACTAAATTTCTTCTGTTTTCTCTCTCACTATTGAATTTAGGGATAGGGGGTCAATTTAAGGAAACACTTGGGAAACAAATTTCTTTCTTACTGTAGAATCATTTTTGTTTGTGAGGGTCAATGTTCATGGGCAACCAAAATTTTACTTGTTTACTGGGACATAATTTTGTGGGTTACAGACATAATTTTGTGGGTAACTTGTATATACAGTACATTCAATGAACAGATACATTGACAAAGTTATCATTGGGTGGGATGTAAATTCGAGGGTAAGTGTGTCCAATGAAATCTATGAACAATGATAATCATAACTTCACAGTATACCACAGTTCTCTGAATGCATGCATCATAAGTTTTTTAAAAAAAATAGCCCCTTGATGACACTAAGAATATATAATTTAGTGCTTGTTCACTTGTGTTTTTTTTTCTTCATATTTTATATATAATTAGACATTCTGACATCATTCTGTCATTCTTAAGGGGGGGGGGGGGGGATTTGTTTCCATCTACACAGGTTTCAGGACATATATACAATGTATATACATAGAATAATCAATAGACATGATTATATGTATATACATAGAATATATAATTGCAACCATGCAATCTCAATTTCTACACACTGTCCTGAAGTGTGAACTACTTAATATAAAGGGTTTCAGACAGACTTAACAATGACAGTTGAGTTTTTTTCATTTTTTTTTTTAACATTTCAGTGTTCCAGTGTGTGTGGTAAAGGGGAGAGAAGACGTATGGTGGTCTGTCAGAGTGTGGAGGGGCAGAATGTCACAGATGACCGGTGCGAGATCATCAAACCACCCGACACCCAGACCTGTGATATGGGGTCTTGTGCCCAGGGTTGGTTCCATAGCCAGTGGTCAAGAAAGGTCAGTTCACCTAAAAACAGACTTAAGGTCGACAGATGACATGTTTCTCAATATTTTATATTTTTTTCCCAAAATTTTGTCATTGAAGTATTGCTACTTTAACAAGTTTCCTCACAAAAAAATAAGATACCTTACCAGGCATTTGTGCAAGATACCAGAGGATACCATTTACTATATAATCCTATTGGAAATCACTAGAATTGCCAATATCACAATTTTTGGTATTTTTTTCGAAAACAGTTTAAAATCACAATATAATAATAGTTATGATTATTTTGTTGTAATATATTACTAAGAGATACAAAACGGATATTTGAGCAACATGTTATCAGACCTTAAGGTATTGGCCATCAGCTTTGGGTCATCCCTATGTCAATTGCTATTGAAGGTTGGGTTAAGATGAAAGGAAATTGAGAAAATGCAAATTTAGAGATTGCATGCCTTTATAATATTTATTTACAATCAGGCCAGTTTGTTGAGATGTGTATTATTTATTTAACAAAATTGATTATTTAATGTATGAAAATGTTTGTACTATGATTTTATGGTTAATGATTTCTTACCTATATCCAGTGCTATCCATCCTGTGGGAGAGGACATCGTAGTAGGACGGTTTACTGTTCAGCTCCGGATGGGGCCCAGATGTCCGAGGCCAAATGTCAGACGAGGAAACCCAAACAGAAAAGACCCTGTCGCAACAAGAGACCTTGTGGAGGATACTGGTTCGCAGGGCCATGGTCAGAGGTTTGTTGTTTCTGTGGAGAAAAGTTAGAATTCTAAGAGAGATAACTCCTCTGTTAATCCAATACTCAGTAGCTCATTTTTCAGGTCATTTTATAAATTTTAGGATTTTAAAAAAAACATTAATTAAGGAATGCATCAAGATTTTTAGAACTTGGACATTGAAAGGTTTTATGTCCTCCATTAACAGGTCACAGATAATCATGCATGCACTTTTCAATTTTGATAGGTTTCAATCTGTACAAAATAAGTACACTGTATACTCATTCCTCATTGTCATGTATTCATTACAATTAAATATCAAGAACAAAACTGAGGACAAGAACAAGAAACCCTTGTTAGGCTTATTCTTTACTGACATTTTCTACAGTGTTCATCAACATGTGGATCTGGTGTGAAGGAGAGAAGTGTTATCTGTGTGAAGAAGCTGGACAAAAAGTTATTTACCATCGTGGGTAAAGAAAATTGTCGAGGGAGGGACAAACCAGAAACAGAAGCTGCTTGTGAGCAGTTGCCTCCATGTCAACCATCTTGGTTCATGACCCCCTGGTCACAGGTATCTAAGCTGAAAAAAAAAATTAGCTGGAAAATACTCTGTAATATACTGTAAACCAACTTTAATGTGCATGTGATAAATATCAGTAAAATTTGCAAGCAATTTCAGCTCACAGATGTTTATGGTTGTGAAAGAGTTCAGCTACTGAAGGCTCTTTCATAAGTTTATGAAACGGGAGATTTCTATCGCAAAGATATTTGTTGACAGGTTTTCATTTGGAGATTCATGAATTTAAAAATGCTTTGTATAATAGTTGGCTTTCAGTATCCTATGTGATGTGTGTTGATGAAATGAATATTAAAAAAAAAATCAGGTGCTGGAATGCATTAAATTGAAAATCCTGAATTTCTTAGCAACAAAAGCTTTTATTTTATCATTTTTTTTCCAATGATATTTAGACACAGTCATAGAAAATGATGAATTCAAGTTTCAAAATTAAATGAGGTAAAGTGTGACTACATGTATTTTAAAACACAAATCGCACATTTCACATTTGTCATTGCAGTGCTCTGCTAGTTGTGGGACAGGCACCAAGACCCGAGAGATTCGCTGTATGGACCCAGACCTAGCGCCCAGCTCTACCTGTCCCACTAACAGAAAACCTAGTCAACAAAATATCTGCAACACTCAACCGTGTCCAGATGAAAGCATTCAGCAAGGTATAAAAAAAGGATATATGATTTACAGCTGTAAAAAGGATATACATGTATGATTTACAGCTGTAAAAAGGATATATGATTTACAGCTGTTTATAAAAAAATGTTTATAAAGATATGCCTGAAGAGATACAATCAAACCTTGTTATCTCAAACTCAATTGGGCCAAAGAAAAATTGAGAGATAATGAGGATCCAAGATAATGAGGTTTAAATACATAAAGGAAAAGTGGTTGGAACTTCCAACTCACGTTGACATGTTCATGGTATTCAAGATATTGATGTTTAAGAAAATTTGATGATGTAGTTGTCCTCATTGAGCTTAGTTCTGGATAAACTGTTCTACTCTTTCTTATTTCAGATCCCAGCTGTAAGGATGGGTACAAATTTTGTCGACTCGCTGGGCCAGCAAGGCTTTGTTCTTATCCATTTTACCAAGAAAATTGCTGCTCCTCCTGCCAAGCATATCAACATAGAAAAACGAAAGAAAAACCATAAACTCTTCCAAATATTCTTATTTTACTCCAAATGCTTTAAAAAGTACACTAAGTAGGGTAATAGGTCAGTGATCTTAAAGATCAGTCTCTTTGTTGACTGTAGAGCTGTGGTGCGACAGAGACGAGAAAGAATGGTACAGACAAAGGGAGAGAACTGCTTAATATTACGAGGACTAAAAATCTCATGTACAAGTTTGTTTCTGAATGACTTACGACTCTTGAATAGTGACAGAGTAAAAAAAAATTGTACTTTTATGGGTACTCTAGAAAATGGCAGAACTAGTGCTTGATATCTGTGACTTTTTTGTTGTTTTTGTTTTTATATTCTTATGTTTATTTGTATGCAAGTGCAGAGCACATGAAAAAAGTTTTTTATCCTTTTCTGGAATGCCAAAAACTTTTGTGTCTTTACAACCGAGTATGAGAGAATGTATAATGACATGTGAGACTATTTTATGTTTTGTACAATGTTTTTGAAGTATTATTGTATACATTTATACTAATTATTGTTGCAGCAGCTTAAATTTGTAAATCCACAATCAAGGATGGAGATTTTACATGGTTGTAATTCGCTATTCACCAAGACCAAAGCATTTTTTATCTATAAATTCAATTTAAAACTACTAAATATACTTCGTTTGTTTTGATTTTTGTGGGTATAAAATTCAAAGTTGGGAAGAACTGGTCAAAACATAATGTACAAAGATGTATGAATTTCTTAATATGTAAGAATATTATTGAGAGAGCTACAAACTAGTAGGATAATTAAGTCTTTGAAGAAGGGGTCGTTTTGCTTGAGAGGTAAAGAAATAAAGAAAATATTCCTTGAATAAAACTTCCTTGGAAAAAGCTAGGGCCACAAGTCAAATGTTCGTGCATTTTTAAAAAATGCTGTATATGAAATATACTTATCAAGTGCAGTTCAGTTAGATATATTTGATACCAACTTTATATGGCAATATCATGAATGGATATATGTTGTGTTTTTTTTTTTTCTTTTTTAAAGTATTTAAAAAAGGATTTGTTTCTTGTAAAGGCAGTTGTTTTGGACCATTCAAATCGAATTTAAGGTCCTTCTATACACTGCACACTAAAGAGTTCTGAGTCTATGGTATTTTCAAACAATTAGAGAGTAATCTGCCCTTGGATTTTAAATGAAATAAATTGATATCTACAGTGTAACACACTCAATTTCTAATCAATTCTTGCTGTCTTAGCATTTTAAAAGGTCAAGACAAATTAATTGATAACTTTACTTGTGTATATTTTCCCTATTAACTAAATAACGGTGATTTCTGTTCAGCAATACTTTGTTGTCTTCGAATTTTAAATGCCACGTATCCTGTGTTGATTTTTAATTTATAATAAATGATAATAAATATAATAAATTTTAAATCTGAGTAATATTCACACTGGACAATGTAAAACCTCACTGACCAATGGAATGCAAGTGTACAACCAATGAATGAGTGTAGATATGAAATGTGTAGGTGGATCTAAAGGGATGGGTGCTATAACTTAATTAATACTTTATTAGTAATAGAAAGACTTTAGATTTTATTTATTTATTTAACTATTCTAAATTTATTATATTTATTATCATTTATTAAATTATTTATTAAAATATACATCTACTACATCTATGTAAATGCTGAGGAGATCATAAAGCACTTGTACATGAAAAATGAGGATGTCGCTACATTTCATGTCGATCTAGATCTGTTGTGATCACTGAGCATCTAGGCATTAAGGGGCCTCACCCAGAAAGACTCTTTAGAGATAGATATTTATATGTATCTCTGAGAATTTGCTGAGCAATTGCTTTGAGACCAATTGAGATCATTGAGAGACATGGAGATTACTGAGAGGGTCCAGGGCTATGAATCTTTGATGAGCTTACTTTTGATCTGTGATTTTACTTTTCACCATAAATTCCTTTGGTACAGAAGTTAGCTCGTATACGTTTTATGGCTCCGGAGCTCGAGCCAGGTGCGACAGAGAGAGATCAATGACACATGAGAGTTCCCTGAGAGATCATGGAGATGAGCAACAAAAAAAGCACCTTCATAGCTATGCTCATCTAAAAAATCTCTGGACAGAAATTACTTCCCTGTTCCCGTGGGTTTCCCATGCATATGTGCTTTTCAGAATGAGGGGGATGTTAGCGGCATGCAGTCTCTCCCAGATCTCGGGCCAGTGTCAATGATCTCTCGAGCAGAGATTAATCTGGTTGTCTTCAATGCAGTCCCCAGTAAGCTCAGCTGACCTCTATGTTTTCTCAGACATTTCTACCTAAAGCGTTAAAATTGGAAAGACTTCTGAGATGATTGGGAGATTCAAGAAATTGTATGGTGATCTTTGTACGCTCCTAGGGCGATCTATGGGCATTCTTGAGAGACTGCTTTATTTTGAAGAGACTGTAGAGACCCCTGAGAGATTGTGAGATACCATGCCGATGGCTGGGGGACCGTTGAAAGATCATAGAGAGATCTACCCAATTTTGCAACCATCAGCAATCTCTCAACGGTGATACTTCTGTGTAAATTGGGTTTTACAGGAAAATGGCGAAGATCAAGTTTTGCAAAATTCAACTTTTTCAGATTTTTTTTTTAATGGGAAAAGATAATTTCAAACAAATATATAATTTTAGGGATGTTATCTTCCGCAGTAATAATCGGTTTATAATTCAGTATACTATACACAAAGGTTAAACTTTATTATACATATACGTATTCAGTAGGATAAGCGATTTTCTATCCAAATATTTTTAAATTAATAGTGCGATTTGGATTTTACATATGCAATGCATGATGTACTACACTGTAACAAGAATTCAGAAAAATATCGAAAAATATTATCTCTAAAGGTTTCTGCGGCATTTAAGCATTTATAATAATCAGTTCTTGTGCTTGTATATTATGTAGGTGCATGCATACATATGTACATGTATTCAACAGAGTGACACCTGATTTAACCTGCATGACGCAACACAAAGAGATTTCATATAAGACTTTTGAGCAAATATTTTGATGTTCAGTAAGTTCAGAATTGGTTTTAAATGCTATTTTCTAACCGATTTATCATTAGATTACTATTAACATTATAGAAAAGTACTTTTGAAATTGTGTATTTCCAATCAAAATATCTATAGCATACTACATGTATATGCAAAAATAACAATTATGCAAGTTGAAAACACGTACGTATAAGTTTTGCAAAGACTAGAAAAACTATATTTGCATGAAAAATAAATCACATACACGTGAACAGGTACATGTACGTATTTTCTTGATGTGTGTTCGTGTTGGGGGGGGGGGGGGGATGGGGGGGGGAGGGGTAGTTGAATTGATACCTTTTAATTGGGGGGGGGGGTTATAACTTTCCAGAATAGCTGATCGACTATTAAGGTATTTACAGAACAAAATCACGTAAAAATTTCAGGCTAAATGAGTATCCTGTACCAGAAGTACGCATATATAAGTTATTTAGAGTCTTTTAATAATAGAATTATTTTATCATTTGCCCACATGTACGTCCTCAATACACCAGCGAATGAAATCTTTCGAAATCAAACAATCCAATCAAAATCATGCAGCCTTCAGGAAGCAACGATTCTACTAGTATATATGTGTCGTCTCCATATTTAGGTCCATAATTTTTCTTAATAAATCAAATACCACGTGTACTGAATATACCGCTCCAAAGCTTTAGGACGTATCAAAGAATCCCACGGTATAGTTCTTGTCGAGATGGGGCCATAATATAGTTTGAGACCCATTTCACTTTCTTATCGTGTTTAAAATTTACGCTGTAAACCATTTACCTTCCGCCCCTTCCCCTTTGTTATTATAATTGAATTAATACAACTGAATACGATTAATCCTTGTAATTTTATATTCATAATTTGTTATAACAAATTATAGTGCAATCTAAACAAATATCAAATTCTCAACATGATAAAATCTTCGTAAAATACAGGGAACTACATACTAAGTGTCATAACTACTCAGGTCCGTAGGAAGCAAATTCAGTTTTTTTTAGGGGGGGCACAGCCATACATTTTCAGTTGACAGGGGAGGGGGCACTACCAAAAATTTCCTGACAAGCAAAAAAAAAAACTATAAATCGGCAAAATTATTGAGGGGGGGCACGCCCCCCCCCCGTGCCCCCCGGTTCCTACATGTATACACGGCCATGCTACTATGTCCCTGGTAAATGTAACAAAGACAAATACAAATGAATGACAGAGAACTATACTGTGGGATAGTAGGTTTGACATTTAAGGACCTTACATACACTGCACAATAAAGAGTTATATTAAATTCGATGGTACTTTTATGCAGTAAAGTGATCTTTCATTGTATGAAAAGTTGAAATAAATTGAAATCTGAAGTGAAATACTAAATTTGTAATCATATTAAAGCATTAATTCTCAACATTTTATTACGCCAAGATAAATGAATTGAACACCTTTTTTGTATGCATTTTCCCTATTTTAGTAAGCATCATCGATATTTTTGTTCATCCTGACTTCGCTGTCTTTGAATTATTATGTCAACTTAAGGTCAAAAACCATAAAAAAAATAGATAACTACAAATTATTTTTTTTTTATTTTCGAAATTAATAATTTTTAACTTATGAGAAATAACTTTGTGATTTTAAATACCTAATTTGTAACTTCAAATAACAAAATAATTAATTTTTGAATACAAATTACTAATTTATAATTAAACATGACTAATTTGTATCAAATAAGTACTACATGTAATTTGTAAGGTTTGTCGCCCACCATCGGGTTCGGAAATCCAGAAATTGTTACTTCAAAGCGCATGGAAAAAAGAAAGTTAGTCTCTTTTAGATTTTTTTTCTTTTGATGTTTATATTTTACGCTAGGTAAGAAACTATTTTTAATGCAGAATGTACGATAACGTATTAAATACCATGTTTTAAATCTGCAAGTGGTATTTTAACCTGTTACTCTGCATTAGTTGTGAATTTAATATTCAGCATCTCGACGTTTTGTATATATTACGATTCTTTATGGTCACGTGACCCATGAAGGCATCTCACTGTCTGTATCACCTTAGAAAAAGAACTGTGTGTTTATTTGCTATACATATCCCCCCCCCCCTTTTCTCGGAATCTCATTTTGTCAATGCACAAAGTCATCCATACCTCAACATTTACTTCGATTAAGTTGAAGTAAAGAGGCAGAAATAACATTAAGTTGTATGTCCCTGCTTTCATGTAAACAACATTGCCTGAATCTTTCATTATTCCATCTGCCTTCAGCCTCCAACTAGTGCCATTCTGTTTACGATGCTTTTATTGTATATGTCTCACACCTTTGGCAGCCCACAAATTTTTAAAAATTGAATTGTAAAAATGAAAATGTTAACTGGTGTTTATAGGGCTCCAAAAATTTTCGGGTCGAGACAGTTCAGTTAATTTTTGGTTTGGTTTCAGGTTTTTCGGTTCAGTTATTAACATTTATTTTTAAACTTTAATTTCATGTATCATATATTAAAATTTAAAAATCTTTATTTGCTACATTGAATTCACTTTAATTGTCTTCCCCAGGTTAATGTCATGACCGGTGTTAAGGACTGCTAGGCCAATTGTTAGCAACAACATGATCACTCTTGCTCGTTTTGAAAAATTATCCCATCATTTTGTGACAAGTGTTTTGTCATGGAGGAAGAAGATTACAGTTGTGATGATTATTTATATCACTGTTATCATTGTCATTCTTTAAATTTTGATGCCATTTTTTGTATATAACAGCTAGATTCTAATATGCAAACCAGACCCGAACCTAAATCAGAAAAAATGGAATCAAAACCAATTCGAACAACACTACTGGTGTTAACAATTAACATCCAATATTCTCTTTGGTCTATAGCTAGTCACAAATTTGCCAAGGTGAAAGATATACAGACATGCTTCTGTGAAATTACATACCCATCGTTGCAAGCACTGAAGAAGATTTTGCCTTAACAATATACCCAAACACCCAACAGCACTTGTAACAGGTTTCCAAAATTGAGAAATTTTGGAAAATGTTTTATAATTATCACTACTGTCTTTTCATGCAGGTATTTGGATAAATTAAATTTAAGAGGAGGTTACAGGGTTGGAATACTTGTGTTGGAGACAGAAATCAACATTTTTAATGGTTTGCTATGAAGATTTAGACTGTATTTTGTCATTATATAAGCTTATCTTAAAGTTCTGTTTCAAACATTACCAGAAGAGCTTTATGTAATGGTAAAGTCTCTGTCTCTTTTTTTTTACCTGGTTTCTACTCCTTAATACACATTTTTTGTCTGATTTCAATCAAAATTTATACACATTTAGATGACACCAAAACACATTATTAACTTTGCTCTGTTTAAGATGTAGCCATGACTAAGTGCTAAAAATAGAAATTTCCAGGAAATTCTTTCAAAGGACTACTCCTCCTGCCTGCCTACAGTTTTTGTTCAATATCAACAAGACTTGGCCACAAAAGTGGATTAAAACATAATAGATAATTCTAGATTTCAGTGAAGGGTATGGGCATATGATTGCTTTAAATAGAAATTCTGTGAAATTCTTTCAAAACACTACACCTCCTTCAAATTTTGTCCAATCTTGATAAATTTTTTGCCAAAAAAAAACATCAAGATTATAAAGTTAAACTTATAAAGTACAAATCCATGCAGGTGCAACTGTTTTCTTCATTATAAACTTGTACAAACCAGTAGAGCTACAGTCTCATTAGAAGCTTCTGGTTTGTGGTATTTCTGATACGAGTATGATATCACCCATGTGACATATTATTAATGTTAGATTCTGTAATTATCTAGTATACATAAATATATACACTGTATGTATATTAAACCATTTTATCAAATTATGTATGTGTCTTTCAGAGAATGGATGAACTGACAGCAAAGCTTGCAGGGAGCTTCAATGTTACGCTGGAGCCAAACAGTACAGCTGCTCAGCACCCGCGATATGCCCTGTATAAAAGTAAAACCCGAGTAGACCAGGAAACAAGGAGGAAAAGAATTCTGGAGGAACAGAAAAAGTAATTTAAAAAACCACTAATTTTTTAATTTGATCTACTTTGGATCACATTATTTTCACGACACTTTATTTTTTGTGAGGTAGTTATTTGGTATTTATAAGCGAGACTAAATTTTTGCGAGCTGTGATTATTGTTGTATATAATCTCTAACAATGAAAATAAATGTGAGAATGAAATGTTTGCAAGCAGACAGGCAAGCGTAATTACGTGAAAATTAAGTTCTTGGGAATAAAAAGTGATTTACGGTAGTTAAATAGCATTTAGCAGTGCTCCAAGTTGCGACTAAAATGGTGGCATTTGTGACCAAATAATTGATTTTGCGACTAGAAATTAAAACTAAGTCGCATTTTCGGGACCGAGAAAATTTTGGCTGGCGATTGTCAATTTTTATGTTCGGGATCAAGATTACTTTTTTCCAACAATCTCTATCAAGAAAATGTTTGGACTTTCCTAAAACTAAAAGCATTGCAAAGACTAAGATTATGTAATGTTATGCCAGCATGTTTCATAGAACATCATTCAAATCTCTTAGACTTTTAAGAACCCCAACTTGTTAATGAAGCATTTGGTCAATATTGCTTGCATATCATCATATTTTGGCATACTGACAGCAACTGTTTAATAGGTTAGGTATGTAATTTAGTAATTTAAAAAGACAATTATACATGCATGTACATAAATGAGTGATGGTTTCTTGCTTTTATAATATACTAAATGTGTTATTCACAAATTGTTTTCAATGTGGCGAGTGAAATATTTGTTGACTGCGACCAGAAATTCTGAAATGGCGACCCAAAATTTTTTTGGTCACCATTTAGTGACCTGATAGTAAGTGTGACTTAAAGCACTGTTTATGATAGTGTATGCTGCAGAAGATAGAGAAATCCCAGTGTTTTAACTGCAATTATACAAGTACAGGTATGAACATTAATCAATGTACAATTTCTAATTTTGCAAGTCACAGATCAAAAGACCTCATGTATTGGAACATGTTATATACTAATATACAAATGCATGCTTAAATCAGAATACAACTTTTAATTTTACTATTTATAGATCGAAAGACCTTGTGCATTGAATAATCCTCTCAAATACAAAATGCATTCTTCATCTAAAATAAAATTTTAATACTGATAGTCATACTGTGTATTTGATTTTGTTTGGAAATAATGTCATTGTTTTAAAAACTATTAAGTGTGGATTAATTTTTAGTGTTTAATAGAAGTAAAAACACTTCAGATTTTGCATATGAAGTGTAGATAATACCACTTATCTGTTAGTCTTACTAAAGTTATAATACATATACCGGTAGTTTAATAATGATGCATGCCGTTTTTAACATCCAGTTACAAACAAATTGTCATTCACAGTCATCACCTGGTAAACCTATACACAGGGTTGTCCCTTAGAGTTGAAATAGGAGGGGACATTAAAAGAGTAGAAGGGGGGTCTGAGGTTCCCCCCTAAGAAGAGGTTGAGGGGGAATACCAGTGTAGCCGGAGGATAACGTCATTATAGGAGGGGAAATTCCCCAGTCCCCCATCCCCCGGGTCTTAGGGACAACCCTAAATATAACTATAATCCTATCAGTGGTCTGCTGATATAATCCTATTAGTGGTCTGCATATATAATTCTAACAGTGGTCTGCTGATATAATCCTATCAGTGGTCTGCTGATATAATCCTATCAGTGGTCTGCTGATATAATCTTATCAGTGGTCTGCTGATATGATCCTATCAGTGGTCTGCTAATGTAATTCTATCAGTGGTCTTCTGATATAATCATATAAGTGGTCTGATGATATAATCCAAACAGTGGTCTGCTGATATAATCCCTTTCTGTAGTCTGCTGATATAATCCTTTCAGTGATCTGCTGATATAATCTTATCAGTGGTCTGCTGATATAATCCTATCACTGGGGTGCTGATATAATCCTATCAGTGGTCTGCTGATATAATCCTATTAGTGGTCTGATGATATAATCCTATCAGTTGTCTGATGATATAGTCCTATCAGTGGTCTGCTGATATAATCCTATCAGTGGTCTGCTGATATGATCCTATCAGTGGTCTGATGATATAATCCTATCAGTGTTCTGCTGATATAATCCTATCAGTGGTCTGCTAATGTAATCCTATCAGTGGTCTGATGATATAATCCTATCCGTGGTCTGATGATATAATCCTATCAGTGGTCTGATGATATATTCCTATAATTCTATCAGTGGTCTGCTGATCAAGGGTGTAATTCACGAGATAATCAAGCCACCTTGTGTATACAAGCAGTAATTAGGGTTTCTACATAAATCCATGTTTGTAGGTGTAAAAAACTGCCAAGTTTTTGGCTGTGTTTTGGTAGCTTGAGTTGGGCATGTGACACCATTAACACCCATCCTTTTAATTTTAATGGTTAGTAGACACTCTGTATGAGCGGTCACGATCTGCTAATTGATGGGTTGATACTGATGTTAATAATTTAAAATGAGCTTTATTGTGTTAGAAGTGCATATGTAGTTTATTCATGTTATTTACCTTTTTTTTTTAAATTAATGATGAAAAGAAGATTTCACATTATAACATCTTTATATCTAAACATGTAAAATTTGATGGTACTTTTAAAGTTTGTCGTTTGGGAAACATTTCCATTTCTGAATTTAAATAATGAGTTTCTGATTTAATTTTGTTGTTTTCTCCCAGACATGAAAATAAACAAAATTAAATCCAAAATAAAACTAAACATGTCTACAGTAGATCAAAAGACAATATACAGTATACATATGGATAAACACCTAGCTTATATACAAATGCACATATATGTCAATCAAAATACGATTTTTAATTCTGCAAGTCATAGATCAAAAGGCCCCATGCATTGGAAAATAATCTTAAAATAAAAATGCGTACAGTACTTCAGGCAAAATACATTTTATAATTCTGCAAGTCATAGATCAAAAGACCCCATGCATTGGAAAATCATCTTGAAATAAAAATGCATATTTCAGGCAAAATACATTTTATAATTCTGCAAGTCATAGATCAAACATCAAAAGACCTCATGCTTTGGAGAGCCCAGCATCTTGTGATAATTAATACACCAGGTTCAACCTCTTATTTTTGTATGGATTGATTTTACCTTGCAGAAATACTCAATACATATTATGAAATATGATACACGTGTACTAGTCCCTAACAGAAGTCTGTGGACCAACACCAGTAAGAATTGGTGCATGGAACAGGAAGAAGCCAAATATTTTTAAGGTTTAATCCCTCTGTTTTACTCATATAAAATGTTGCTTTAATGCTTATGATTTAAATAAGAAATGTATTTAATAAGTAAAGTGCACACAATTATAGCGTAGCTTGCGGGGCAAAATTGGTTAAGAAAGACATTTCAACTTGATAAATCTATAAAGGTATAATAGATATTTATCCCATGAGGACTTATCTCTCTTATCATAGTATCAACTGAATGAACTGTAAGTCTGGATGAAAGCATTCAATATTTATGAATCTGCTAAAATGCTCATTGAATTTTTATGGGTAACTAATTTTTCTTCTGCTAAAATGTCCAATCTGATTAAAATCAGCTGTTGTTTTGCGCCACAGTTTGTGGCGTAGTACTAGTTAACGTAGCCAAACAAACCGCTGATTTTAATCAGATTGCTAAAATGTCCAGAGCTATAAATCTTTGGCTAAAATGTCCATTTACATCTTTTGCAATTCTGCTAAAATGTCCTTCATCCTCTACAGTGCTGTTCAGGTTTTAATGTTGAGTAGATAATTAACAACTTGTCCATATGTAAATCAGTAGCAGAAATGATATTTCCAGTTATTTTTGCTGTACCGACATAGTAAGTTCTAATAAATGAAGAAAATATAAAGAGGGGCCTGAGTCCGTGGGGGTTATTTATGCGAAATATTTCTTCTCACATATTAAAGTGTAAATTACCCCCACATGTAAATTTCTGTGTTTGCAGAATTTTCCAATCTATTTTTGTCTATTTCAATATTATTTTCAAAATTCTACGTCTTATTTTTGTCTCATTTGATAAAAAAATGTTAATAATTTTATTGATAAAAGTTCAAACAGGAAATATTGTAAGCCAACATTTAACACATATTCAGACCGTATATGTTCAAACCAATAAACACAATAGAGCTCAAGTCTTATCAAAGTCGTCTGTTTATCTTCTTTCTTTTTTTTAAATATACTGAGTAGACAAATAAAACTATGCAAATACTGTTTTACAGGCAGCGATTTGACTATCTAAAGCATGTGCGGAACTTGTCAGAGGATGCCTGGGAAAACACAGATGCCGAGTCCGTGGCTTCGGAGGACTCGATGGACGTATCATTTGAGGGGGACAATGTCAAGTTAAGACGACCAGGGAAATATTACAGAAATCAGGTGACTGAATGATCAGGAAATAAAAAGTTTCGACATTAAAATTAAGAATGAACATGATGAATAACAAAATGTATTTTTATGTTTTTGAAATATAAAAAAACCTTGGACAAGAAAATACCATTAAAAAAAATACAGGATTTGCTAAATGCTTTTAGAGATGAATCATGTTAATGATATTGTTTTTATTATGAAATTGAAAGAAAAAAAATTGTCTTCTTTAGCTGATGTATTCTGAGTGGCTTGTAGAGAAACCAGAGGACTTTGAACAAGAATGGCTGACAGTTATATGTCCTTGGGGAAAAAGGAATCTAGTGGTAGCATCCAGGGTAGGTCAATTACATGTAACTGCTGCTTATGAAGTTAAAAACAAATATATGAACTTAGTTTTGAGTGACAAGAACTACCGAGCCTTAATGAGGGCACCATTTTTAGGATGCTTTGTAGTGTACAGTCTGTCTGTCCTTCCAACATTGCTTATCTAAAGATTTGTTTTCTCTTGTGGTCTAATATCATTCATACTTCATCCATGGAGTGTCTGTGGGAAGAGGGTACGTATTGATCTCAAACAAAATTTAATATTCATTCATTTTCACACTGTAAAGCCTATGAATGCCAGACCTTTTTAGTTGATGCATCTTGTGGGAAGAATTTGTAGCAACCCAAAAGAATATCACTTTAATGTCATTTTGGAATTTTCTTACTGTAATTATAAGTCAGATAGCAGTGTGAAACCTAGAATCAGCAAACCTTGTCATTTGATGCATCTTTATGACACGGTGTCAACATGGTGTGTCACAACTCACAACACAAAAGGAGGTACATGTAACTAAGGTTACTGTAGGTTTAAGTATGAATAATAGTTGACCAATGGGAGAGAAAATGACATTGACTTTTGAATTAGAAATGAAAATCAAGGTCAGGGCACAACATCTGCCCAAGGACAATCTGGTGGTAAAATTTGAATGACATTGGACTGAGGGAAAAGAAAACCTTAAGGATTGGAATATATATAATTTTCTTTTATGTTTTTGATTTTTAGCTCACCTGAGCCGAAGGCTCAAGTGAGCTTTTCTGATCACATTTTGTCCGTCGTCCGTCCGTCCGTCTGTCCGTCTGTCTGTCCGTCCGTCTGTAAACTTTTCACATTTTTGACTTCTACTCAAGAACCACTGGGCCAATTTTGACCAAACTTGGTACAAAGCATCCTTGGGTGAAGGGGAATTTAAATTGTTAAAATGAAGGGCCAAGTCCCCTCACAAGGGGAGATAATCAAGAGAAGACAAAAATAGGGTGGGGTCATTAAAAAATCTTCTTCTCAAGAACCACAGGGCCAGTAAAGCAGAAACTTATATGGAAGCATCCTGGGGTAGTGTAGATTCTAAATTGTTCAAATCATGACCCCTGGGGGTAGGGCGGGGCCACAATGTGGAATCAATGTTTTACATTGAAATATATAGGAAAAATCTTTAAAAATCTTCTTCTCAAGAACCACTGGGCCAGAAAAGCTGAAACTTATGTGGAAGCATCCTGGGATAGTGTAGATTCTAAATTGTAAAAATCATGACCCCCAGGGGTAGGGCGGGGCCACAATAGGGAATCCAAGTTTTACATTGAAATATATAGGAAAAATCTTTAAAAATCTTCTTCTCAAGAACCACAGGACCAGAAAAGCTGAAACTTATGTGGAAGCATCCTGGGGTAGTGTAGATTCTAAATTGTTCAAATCATGACCCCCGGGGGTAGGGCGGGGCCACAATAGGGAATCCAAGTTTTACATTGAAATACATAGGAAAAATCTTTAAAAATCTTCTTCTCAAGAACCACAGGACCAGAAAAGCTGAAACTTATGTGGAAGCATCCTGGGGTAGTGTAGATTCTAAATTGTTCAAATCATGACCCCTGGGGGTAGGGCGGGGCCACAATAGGGAATCCAAGTTTTACATTGAAATATATAGGAAAAATCTTTAAAAATCTTCTTCTCAAGAACCACAGGACCAGAAAAGCTGAAACTTATGTGGAAGCATCCTGGGGTAGTGTAGATTCTAAATTGTTCAAATCATGACCCCTGGGGGTAGGGCAGGGCCACAATAGGGAATCCAAGTTTTACATTGAAATATATATAGCAAAAATCTTTTAAAATCTTCTTCTCAAGAACCACTGGGCCAGAAAAGCTGAAACTTATGTGGAAGCATCCTGGGGTAGTGTAGATTTTAAATTGTTCAAATCATGACCCCCGGGGGTAGGGCGGGGCCACAATAGGGAATCCAAGTTTTACATTGAAATATATAGGAAAAATCTTTAAAAATCTTCTTCTCAAGAACCACAGGACCAGAAAAGCTGAAACTTATGTGGAAGCATCCTGGGGTAGTGTAGATTCTAAATTGTTCAAATCATGGCCCGTGGGGGGAGGGTGGGGCCACAATAGGTATTACAAGGGGGGAGTCTGGTAATGAACAGCATGGCCAAAGTTACTCAGGTGAGCGATGTGGCCCATGGGCCTCTTGTTGAATTTAACATAAACAATTTGGTATCATTGTACATTCATATAAGTTCTTTGATAGGAAAAAGAAGCGTAAAGTTCTTGTCTGGACATTATATTGAATCAAGAAACAGCAGTAGTTGGTACTTATTACAAAGGTAGCTTGTGATCAGAGGTGTGTGGCTGACCTTTTATGTGTACCCTGTTCCAAGGTCATTTGGATGAGGTCTAGGTCATGGAAATTATAGTTCTTTGAAATTGAGAACCATAAGAAGCTGATGTTTGAGACAAAGATTGCTTGTAACTTGAGGAAATGTTTTCTTAACCCAGGATATTTCGAATAATGTCAAGGTCACAGGCTTTAGAAGTGTAAATTCTTGCCTTGGCCGTAACTTTGAAGCAGAGAAACATAAGAAGTTCATACCAGGCACAAAAGTTACTCCTGACTACTGACCTACAACATGGTCATTTGGACAAGGTCAAGTTCACTAGATTTAAAGTGTAATATTTTTGTTAATACCATAATATTTAATGAATACCTTTTAATGGAAGATTATACATGGCTTGAGGGTCTATTATGGTCGTAAGATATGTCATGACCTTGAATAAAGGTCATTTAGAAGAGGTCAAGGTTAGTGGGTTCAGAAGTGTCAAATTTCTGAAGGGCTATGTAAAATTCTGTAAGACAATATAATTCGTCTTTTGGCCATGACTTTTTAATGCTGAGACTGTGAATCATATTTCCGTACCTGATGCAAAGGTTTCTAATGACCATAGGAGTTACAACATTCAAACAATTACATTGCAACAAAATTCTGGCTCTGGGAAATAGCAATAATTTTTTGAAGATAAAAGAGATCTTTTTGAAGCTATTAAAAAATTGGTCCTTTATTAAGTTGCCAAGTGGGGGTGTTAGTCCTAGCACTGTAGGACAGTTGTAGTTGTGGCCTGTTTTCCACTTTGCCAAATTTTGGTTATGTTGCAATAAGAGTGGACCCTTTTTGGTGGTTACCATCTCATTGATATTTAGTATTGATTTTCTGGAGATATGAATATATGTCACATATTTTGTGATTCAAATACCAATCAGATAAAGATTTGATGAGATGAATAATAAAAATGAAATATGTTTGTTAATTCTTAGGGTAGAACTCATGCCTATGCAAAAAATGGAAGTCGAATGAATTCTTTTTCCTCCCATCTACCTGGAGGAAACTATGCTCAGAAAGGAAAAGGAAAGGGAGGTAAATAAAGGATGTTTTTCAAAGAAAAAAAATTATCTTCTTATTAGAAAAATTAAGCTGTAAAATCTTCTTTCTGCCTTCATTTATATACATGTACCAGAACAAAAATTAATCTAACTAGTACATGTATTTGGCTTTGGTATAATGTGACATGTGTGTTGTTTATTTAGAAATTAAGAATAAATACAAAATAATGTGGGAATATTGCAGATAATGTGATTCTAGACTGCATTTTTGATGAGAATGAGGGAATTTACTACGTCCTGGACATCATGTGTTGGAGGAACCATCCTGTGTATGACAGTGAGGTAAGATGAAAAACTGCCAGAGAGAAGAGTCCTTCACAATTTTGTAAATACTTCTTACTTCTATGATTTAATAATGATATGATTTATTTGTGAGAATAGACAGAGTTCCGATTTTTCTGGTTGACAAGTAAATTCCAGGAGGTACCAGAACTAATGGAAAAGTCCCCTAATAATCCAGTAAGATTTCATCATGTTCTTTTTTTACTGTCTCTCTGAAGTTAAAAAAATAGTACATATAAATGTATGTAATGTCCATTATATACTATTTGTTGATCTCACTTTAATATTCTTGAATCTGTGATGGTATGTAGGCATCATATATATATATATATCTGTAATTTAGATGTTGGCACTTTTTTTGTAGTACAAATTCATTCCTCTTCCAAACTTCCCATGTACAAAAGAATCCATTTCAACAGCCATCAACACAGCCACTTTTAATGTAAGACATCGTGAAGGAGAATATAAATGCATAAAAAGTATTTTGCAGTTGCATAACTAGTTCATTAAATTTGTTTTATTTAACTACTGTAATATAACCCCTGGTGTATTTTTTTCAACAGATAGATGGGCTGTTGTTTTTCCACAAGAGGACACATTACACATTTGGTTCCACACCCCTTGTGGTCTGGTTAAAGCCATACATGCTTCCAGAGATACTTGAGATCGAAGTCCCAGAAAAACTGTTGGCAGAGCGACCAGATAATTATTCAAACTACGCTGCTCATCTTGAGCATGTGGCAGAGGAGAAGAAAAACAGAGAGGAGGAGAGAAACAGAAAGGGGAAAACTCCCCCAAAAGGGAGAGGTGGGGGAGGAGGGGGTGACTGGAAGGAGAAAAAGAAGAAGGGAGGAAGAGGAGGGGGTAGAGGAGGGGCTCAGACAATGGAGGTGTATGAGGACAGTCAACCAGAGAGAGATCCTTATTCTAAGCGAAGCTACGGACAAGATTTCAGAATGGATGTGAGTGTTGATGACGATGAGAATGAAAGCGAATCTTGTGATACCATGGCAACCATCCCAGAATAGCCATCATTTGCTTGTTTTCTTCTAGAAACCAAAGTATTCTGTTTACAAGACCCCTAACAAGGTCAACAGAAAGCTACAGGGTCAAACAGGAAATGACCTTTTCCCTTGTGGGGTCATAGCAGTCAAAGGTCATAAAAGTAACAGAAGATTCCTAGTCTAAAATAGAAAAAAAGGATCTTGATTTTTTTATTTAAGGAAATATGTCAAGGAATAGAACTCAAATTGAATATGAAGGTTGTGGTAGATGGATCTTGCAGTATTCTTTCATGCATGTACATGTAAATGAAGTATATTTTTATGAAACTTTTTTGTGTCAAAATTTGCATGAAAAAATTTAGCTAGGTTTTATTGTAAAGCTAACTGTTGATTTTGAAACTGCAGTAGTGAAAATTCTACCATGTTTCACAAGAAAGCAACTACAGAGAAATGATATGGCATGGCAAAGAATTCTTATTTTCTAAAACATTCAGTGTTTGAAAGCTATTGCAAGATCAAATCAACAACTCAGCTGACATTTGAGCATCCTTGTGATCTTGTTGTCTTCTCAAGGCATTTTAAATAGATAGATATATTTTTGATTTTTAATTGACAAGATCCAAGTTGTTTGGATGCTCTAATGTTCAAATTTGTATTGCAATCACATAAATGATGTTTTATTAAATCAAAAAATATCGGATATAGTGTGTTTTCTTTAACAGTTGGAAAATGAGCTGGTTTGTTTTCTGCTTTTGGGAAATATTCAAAACAACAATAACCAACTTGCATTTGCACTCAAAAAAGCAAGTTGAAACTAGCTTTTGCACTAAACACAGATTATTCAATTTGGGGATGGGATAGCAAGGGTTAGGGAAAAGGCTAGGAGTGATGCAAACAAAAACTGATCATACAAAGGGAATTTTACACCTCTGACATAGTTAGGGAATAGACTTGAAAGTGGTACCATGCTGAAATGTGTACCGATAATTTAAGGTATTTTGCTGGGTGCATCATAAACCCTTTTGAAAAAAAAAAAATGAATGAGTATGAGTGAGTTCAAATCATGAATAAGGGTGTAGATTTTGAAAGAAGAAAAGTCTGACATCAACTGGTCTTTTTTAAAGCCCCTGACAGTAAGTACATGTACTCTAGTAGAAGGAAAAATAAACTAAGAAGCTCATCTTGAATGTGTAAAATGGTTTCTAACTTTATATGATTAAATTTTTGTTTGTTTTTTATTACACCAGAACATGGACAAAATAACATACATGATATTGTTGATATGGTCTAGCAAATTAACTAATTGTTCACAGATTATTTTGAAAGCAATCACTAGGGGAAAAAATAAGATTTCTAATAAATATTTTGTACATAAATAGCCATATGGTGCTTGCAGAATTATAAAACTGTAAACCAAATTTTACTTGTGTGCGAGAAATATCCTTGAGTTTTAGCAACCTTGTTTTACTCGCATTTATTCTTGCCACAAACTGTTGATTATTTTTTGTATGTATACAGAATATTTCCTCAGTCATGAAAGTCAGTTGCTGCTGATAGATTTCAAACTGAAATATTGTAAATAAAAGTTGTCCCGAATAATAATTAGTTTACGGTATTTTTTACATCACACACTGTTCTGTTTTATATGTTTAGCTGATGTTCTCTGAATGGTTGACTGAGATCCCATCAAATTTGGAGACGGAATGGTATGCTGTTATATGTCCAACTGGAAAGCGCCACCTTGTGTTGGCTTGTGAGGTAAATTAGTATGAAGAGAACAAGTGTATACAATAAATTACATGTATATAATGTGATTAGTTTCAACTCGAAAAAATAATGATTAATTAAATATATAACAACATATATTAAGGCACTTAAGAAATCTCAAAAATACAGTATATTTAAACTTTAATTTATACAGTTTAATACCACATTCAGAAATGATACATAACCTATGGGGTATGTAAATTTGTTCAGAAATGATTGCAGTTGTTAATCCCAGTTTGAACAGTCATTTTGTCATTAAATTTTCATCTGTCTCTTATATAGATTATTCATATAAAGCGTGTGAAAGTACTTAAAATATTGTATTATAGATCTGGACCTTACACTGATAAAAGACCAGTAGAAATTTGATACTTCTTAAGAAATCTGTCATATGGATGGCTTAATTTATATAAATTGGATCTAATTTGTTCAGAAATAGTGTTTATTGTGCAGATAAAAAGCCATTGGTTTTCATAAGAAATAAAGTGGAAAATATTGTTTAATGAACATACATTGTACTACAAAGATATTTCTTAATTTTTTTTTATTTTTTTTTTCACTACATACAAGACAAAACACTATGTGCAAACATAGGAAAAGATGACATATTGTGGGGGCAGGTCAGAGTTTAGAAAGTCTGCACTGATAGAGAGTCTACAAATTACTCTTTTAAAATTCATGCATGCTCTATTAGAATGCCTGTAGGACATTGACAGATATTCTATACAATAACATATCAGATTGTTGGTTTACAAAACATGTGGGATTGAGACATGTGAAAACTTCATTAAATACTCAGAAAAATCTTATCTTCTCAGATTAACAAGTGCTAACACACCTGTACCCAACACACCTGTACTTAAAATACACCTGACCCAACTCCTGTACCTAGCTTCCATATAATTATATTTAAAATTTGAAAGTTCTTGAGGCTATGACCTAATACTTTATACCAAGGTATATTTCATGAAGTGTTCGATATCTGATCATAAAAAAATATGCCACCTCTTTTTTGAATTTGGATGTTTTGCTGACTGTAGACCGACACCTGAGCTACATGTACATGGCAAGCAGGTTGAGTTTAGCTTGTCAGTGGTCAACTTTCCCAGTTTGTATTATTAGTGATGTTACGCTATTGCCTTCATACGATGTTTTGTTTTTCATCTGGTTTGGTGTGTGAGCATGTTCTGTGTGAGATCAATTTTTAAGCTGAGGAAGCTACTGGTGGGAGAGTTGCTGTTACAGTGTTTTTAGTAATCCTGTATGGGGTCAGCACTCACAGGTTCTGTGGTCATTGATATGACCTTGTCTGTAGATGCAGCCTATCGTTGGGTATTGTTCTCACTGAGAGTATGTCTTGCTGAACATTGGGTCTTCATTCATTTTTGTTCCAATTTGGCTTCAGATTGCTCTGGTTGCCTGACTGGTTGTGGCAGATGTGGCCAGTTTTCTGGAGTTGCTTCCTCCTTGTGGGCACCTGATCCCACTTCTTGTGTTACAAGAGAACCATGTTTTTAGCCCTGTTTACAATCTGTATTCTTTACTGTATGTATGAGATTGATCCCCATTCTATATTTTTACCTTTTACAGTTAATATAATACATTGAATTAGCAAGTAATTTGGCAAAGTAATATCTTCTACATAGGGTGCAAATTGACCTTTCGTGAATATTTTAAGAAATGGTTCATTTATATTTACTAAAGGTTGAAAGGGATGGATAGCAGAGTAATAATTCAGTTAAAGATTTACTGTAAGTAGGTAACCAAAATTATTAACCATAATCCCCTGCCATGTACCAGGGTGGCCTAAATGTTCTTAGATATCTTTCATCTGTCCTTATGTCTTTGCAACTTTCTGTCTGTTCGTCCCTAACACTTTGCGTTTAGATCAGTTTTAAAGAAACTTGTTAAATATGTTTTCATAAGTTCAGCATACAAAAATACACATTGGCATGAGTATTTCTACTGTGTTATGATTTTCTGACCTTGATCTTCCCCTGTGACCTTGACCTCACTTCCTCATTTTGCATTTACTTAGCTTCAAAGAGTTTTCATAAAACTTCCTACACTGAAACAAAATAATGAAGGTAATTCAACCATGTCATAATTTTCTGACCTTGAACTTTTCTCCTCCTTTTGCTATTGCTTCCTTTTAATGGAATTCCATAAATTGTACACATTTCAAATATAATTGTGTTTGTGTATCCCAAGTATTATTAACTTTGAAAAACTTTTTTTCTGATGACAACAACATCTGATTCAGATGTTTTGCACTTAAGAGACAAATTTGCTACATACAGAGAGAATTTATCGTAAAACAATGGGAAGTACAGTCAAATCTTGTTATCGAGAACTCAGTGGGACCTAGAAAAAACTTGGAGATATCTTAAGACTCGAGATTTCGAGGGTAAAATATTTAAAGAGTAAGTGGTTGGGACTTCCAAATCACTTTGACATATCCATAATATCTGAGATATCGGTGTTCAAGATACCGAAGTTCAGCTGTATGTTATTTAGTTGTATGATAGATACCATGCTACAAAAGACAACAAGTACATCTGTACTAAACATTTAAGATATCAGTTCTGTAAATAAAAAAATTATGAAAATCGTTCCTTCTGACATCATTTTATGATCAGCTCAGACCAAAGAAGCAAGGCACACTGCTTTTCATGTTGCAATACAGACACATGTATAATATTTGACAGGGGCATTGATGTCCTATGGACATATTTCTAGTTAAAGATATTTTAACGATTCAGAAGACCTATACTGATGAGCTTGACCAATAAATGCATCTAAACATTCAATTATTACTGCCTCACTTACATATAACTTTGTCAAGGTGATCAGTGTAATCTTTAATTACAAGAGACAGAGGTGGGGGAGGGGGGTTCAGAGTAGAGAATATAATTATGATGATATTTTTGCACTTTTTTCTCCAGGGAGAGACCATCAGTCAGTTAAAGAATGGAATCTTGGTCAAATCTTTCCGGTCTCTTCTACCAGGAGGGTTTCCATATGAAATGGCACACAAAGGTATTTATCAGATTAGTAAATACATACATGTATTCATTAATCAAAATTTGTCGATGTGTATGTAATGAAGAAATCCATTAATAAGGGCCTTGCTCTGTGGGTGCCTTATAGTGATCAGTCTATCTGTCCAATTTCATTTGTCTGGAGCATATTTTCTAACCCCTTGACCCAGTCGGAATCGAACTTGGCCCATAGATTGCCCATGGGTAGAGGGTGACCTTGAACCAATTTTCTAGATCAAAAGTCGAGCTCAAAACAACATCTCTGTGTAAAATTCTTGTCCATAGTATATTTTCTCTCCCCTAGGCCCAGTGGTGCTCATACTTCACCTATAGGGTGTCTCTAGGAAGAGGGTGTGTATTGACCTTGAAGCAATTTTCTAGTTGAAATGTCAAAAGTCAGAAAATCTCTTTGTATAAAAACAAAAATTCATTTCATGGGCATATTTTCTCTCCCTTTGGCCCGGTCAGGATCAAACTTCTCCCATAGATGGCCTTTGGGTAGAGAGTGTGCAGTGACCTTGATCCAATTTTTCCAAATGGTCAAGGTTGAAAAACCTCTCTGTGTAAAATCCATTTTAAGAGCATATTTCCTCTCCCCTTTGTCTAGTTGGGCTCATACTTCATTGATAGAGTGCCAGTTGGTAGAGGGTGTGCAGTGACCTTGAACCAATTTTCCAGATGAAAGGTCAAGGTCAGAAAACCTCTTGTGTAAAATTCTCTTCCAGAGCATATTTTCTCTCCCCATGGCCCTACCTGGCCCAAAATTCATCAGTAAGAGTACCTATGTGTGTGCAGTGTCCTTGAGCCAAGTTTCTAGGTTAGTGGTCAAGGTTATAGCAGAGTCTGTTAAATTCTTTTCTTGGGCATTTTTTCTCCCATTGGCCCGGCATCTTAATCAAACTTCACTCAAAGAGTGCCCTTGGATAAAGGGACTTTCATCCTATTGTCCTTTTCCAAAAGTGGGGCCCTTTGAGATGGACCCATCTCAACAATATCTAGTTGTATACAAAAATGAATGTGATCAGATCCTATAGATTAGAAAAACATTGAGGGAACTGATAGCACAGAAATTTTTCCCCTCTATAAACAAATGTTAAAAGTACATACCTGTACTCTGTATACTTAACTATGCAAAGTTCATCAAGACCTGAATGATATTTGGCACTCATATGAAATAGTTTCATGCATTGTGCCATTTTGTCCAGGATTATGTATGCTTTTACTGTATGTATTTTATTGCATGTACACAGATATGTGTGTGGTAGACACAATCTTCAACAAACAGACAGACACATACTATATCATGGACTGCATGATCTGGAATAACCAACATCTGACACAGTGCGAGGTTAGCAATATAAACTAAAATTTCTTCTCTTATAATGTACCTATATTTGTACGTATTAATAAAATATGGTAAAATTTAGGCATCTGAAATTAGGCATGAAAGGCCAAAAAAAACCCTAGCATACTGTAAACCAACTACATGTACATGTATTATTCCTGACTACGTAAATATGCAATTGAATAAACTGTTTGCTGGGAGATATATTTGCTAATTAGAAAAAAAGGTTACAAAACTTACGGATATTTCTATGCAATTGAAAGTTGATGGTTTTCAGTATATAAGTTTTTCAATATTTTGAAATTTAGACTTGAATTTGTTCATATGTTACATGTAGTTATGATATAGACTTGTTTCTTTGTACCCTTAACACTGGACTTATACTGCTGTTTTTCAACTGTACGTCAGTGATCCTTCATAACAATGTTACAAAATTAAAAACCGTCCTCAAAACATTTCATAAAACATGCTTAATAAATGAGCGACAATTTCCTTTTGCCAGGCTGAATTCCGAATGTATTGGTTGGAGGAGCAGTTAGGACAAATCAGAAACATTGGAAGAGTTTCCCGCAATAATCAGGTCAGCTCAATAAAGTATCTCAAGGGAGCTTACAATGAGCTGTGTGGAGCTATTCCTTAGTGAAAATGAAAAATCCTGTATTTGGTCATATTTTATTTAATTTAATTTATATACACATTATGTGTACTGTAAACAGGCATGTACATTCTAAATAATTGTTCAACTTGGATGTTTTCATAGTCCTAGTTGGAATGTGCTGTCAGTGACGTTATTGCTTCACACTAGTGCTGTGATGCATTTGTTCATGTATGTTGTGCAGTTTTTGAAAAGTACATGTATTGACATTGTACAGTTTCAAGATATTCAGAGTAGCTATATTATATATGTAGGGCAGTTTTTATACCTTTGCTTGATTTTTTGCTCAAAGACTAAATAAACGTGCATTAGAAAGGTGAAATTCATCCTTCCCTTGATCTGTAAACAATTTTCAAAACCCTGAACATGCATAAGCCTAATTCTTTTTTTCATTATTTTTAAATTTAATGAATTGTGTAACCATTGTTACTTATTTGCTTACTTTTGTTTAAAATCAAAGAAGAAGTGCTGTTACTTTTCAAGGAAAATTGTACAAATGTCTTATTTAACTATTAGGAGTTCAAACCCCTTAGAGCTACAGTCAGTGACTCATGGTTTAGTATGTTCATTATTTTATATTGACAGCATCCATTTATGTTGCTGAAGCGCATCCCATGCACAGCACAAGCACTAACAGAGGAGCTCGTGAAAGTGGAATATGATGTAAGCTTTTAAACTGAATTGCAACTCAAGTTGAAATTTGTATTCTGCTTTATAATGAATTATTCAAATCACTCCTGAAAAGAAATGTTAGATCAAAGTAAATTTGTGATATTTCTTCATTGATGAAGGTAGACGGAGTTCTGTTTTATAAAAAGTCATCAGCATACATCCCTGGGCAAACAGAGGATGTGCTATGGATCAAACCATATATGCTACCAGAAGTTATGTCAGATGTAATTGTTCCATCACACCTCTTGAAAAGAAAACCTCCAGAGTTTGACTATCAAAAGCACTTGGAGAAAGTCACCAAACAGAAGAAAGAGCGTGGAGAGCAGAAAAGGCCCCAGAGGAAACAGAAGATACTAAATATAGATAAACTGGTCGACGATATCAGCCGCATATACATCTCACAGCAACAGAGGGCAGGTGTTGAAATGTCACCAGAGGAGGTGGAAATTTCCAAAAGATTAAATCAGAAGTCTAAAAAAATATCCCAAGGAAAAGGAGGTGGCAAAAATATGGGAGACTATAGTGCTTTAAAAAAGAAAGAAAACATCACTTTCTATGGTGATGATTTCTCCTATGAAAACTATTGTAACTCCAGTTACTATGGTGATTACAGTTACTATGGCGACCAGGGTTATCCAGGAGTTGATGGCTATAGGGGAGATGGTTATCATTCCATGTCACCTGCAGGGTGGGGATACGAGGATCATGGCAGACAGTGGAATTCTCCACCCAAGGGCAGGGGGAGGGGTCTATTGGGTCTCAAACCCTTGGCAGGCTATTCCAACACACACAGCACATTTAAGAAGTGATTTTTCCCCCATTAATCTGAACTCTTACAAGTGATAAGATTTGGACAACCTGACAAATTTTAACAGTGTTCACATTTGTTAATGGTTATGTTTGATATTTAAGAATATAACCCGCTCATCATGATTTTAGGTTTCAATAAACAAGTGAAATTGATTCTTAGTTTATATGTACAGTTACTTAGGGCCCTGCATCATCCTTGTTTAATTTGTTGAGGGTCAATTTAAAAGTTAATGTTCCTTGATGAGCATCTCATTATGAAAATATAACCTAAATATGAATATTCGTTGAATTTGAAAAATCTTTTGTAAAAGGTAAGTTTGATGTCCACAGATATAGAACCTGAAAGAAATACAGGGATTCCACCATTACCAATAATAAAACTGTAGTAAATAACTGTCAGATTTTTCAAGCTACTTGTTAGTTTGTTACATTTTCAGCTTATGGAATCTCTCATTCACTGTGCACATGTTAAGGGAGGATGCCCTTAAGTTTGGGGGTCAAAATTAACAGTGTGTATGAGTAAATCTTTGAAATATCACTTTTTAAGATATGTACATGAACAATCGGTCTCTATTTCTCCCCCAAAACTTTTACCATGGCTATAATTTCTGAAGGGTTGGTGCTTAGGCTTTCATAGTTCATGTGTATTCCCCTTGACAAGACAGTCTTAAGGTACTAACATTTTTGACCTCATGACCTTGGAGTTTGACCTACATTTACTTTTGAAAAACTTTAACCTTGATCAAACTTCTGAACTTTTAGTGCTAGGGCTCTTATGGTTCACTTTTGTATTCCCTTAGACAAGACCTTTCTTAGGGTCCTACATTTTTGACCTCATCACCTTAGAGTTTAACCCACATTTAAAAAACTTTAACCTTGGCCATATCTTCTTAACTAGTGGTGCTAGGGCTTTCATAGTTCATTTGGTTTGTTCCCGTTTTGCACATATTTGAATTTTAGGTATTGAAAAAAAGTGTGCAAAACGGGAATTTGTCCAGGTAAGATAATTACTTAATTGCTATAGTCTATATCATAGTTGTGAATTTGGAGAAAGAGATTCTACGGAAAGAAAAGGAAGAAAAAATGTTAATTTTGCACTTGATATTTTGACTTATTTCTTTAAAAAAATATTTTAAACATAAAAAATATCACAAATACCAGTCAAAACTATAATTATATTCACATGATACTAACTGGATGGTTATTTTTTTTATGAATTAAGATTGAATTCATTTACTAATTCATTTTACCTTTATGAAATAAATAAAAAGGGTGAACTGCAATAGGGATATTTGTCTAACCTATCAACTTCATCTTCGGGTGGATAAGTAGAATTTTCCTAATGTATTCCCTTAAATATATATTATACGTAATACATTGGTAAAATACAGGTAACCAGGTAAATCCCAGATGGAGATCAGACTATAATTGCTATCAAAACATATTTCACACCTATTGTTTTATACCTAATTATCAAATGTGTGCAAAACAGGAACACACCATTCATTTGGTATTCCTTGGGACAAGACCTTTCTTTTTTTGACAATAGTCCAATTTACACCTTGCAAAAGTAGTATCCCTTTGCACCAAAAGGTCAAAAGGGAAAGAAATGACATTTCTCGTCTTTATGCTACCAAACATTTGGGTGTGCTCCGATAAATTCACTGAGTTTAAATTTTTTTCTTATGATGTATGGGTAGCCCCATCCTGGGGCAATCAATATACAAGGTGCACAGATTTTTCTAGTCAAATGACAAAGTTAAAAACTAGAAAACTACAAAGGCTACTTTGAGGATTCTTTGGGTTTTCTCCCTCTAACAGTTGACACAAAGGCTTTCATATTTTACTAGAGTATTCCTTGAGATGAGACCTTTCTTTGGGTACCAACATTTTTGACCTCATGACCTTGAAACTCATTTTGAAGGACTTTAACCTTGGCCATTAGCTGCCATATGGAGGCATCAGTTTTTCACAAACACCAACTTGTTTTAACTCATAACACAGGCACTTTTTTTCAAACAATCTTTTACTGCTAATTTGTGTGAAATTTTGCATTGAAAGGCCAGTGAGCCCCCTCTTCTTGTATCCAAAATTTGTCTTATTATCCCCCCTCCCCAAATATAATTTTAAGTTTTCATATTTAGGCATGTCCAGGGTTAGAAACTCCCTAAAATTACAACTAGCAAATAATTGCGAGTACCAAGAAAGTGAACTCGCAATTTTGTAAGACTACTCGCAATTTTCATATAAAGTTAAATTTATATAAATTAAAATACATGTAACTTAAGGAAAAAGTAACTACTGTGCAATACACAAAATACAACTACAGTGTGATTTTTAGTTAAATTAATGATTTTAATCAAAAGCATTGTATTCTGTCATATTATATATTTTTGATACAGTTTCAATGCAAAAAAAATCAACTCGCAAGTTTTTGCGAGTTACCTAATTTTTAACTCGCAATTTGGGAATTCTAACTCGCGTTTTGCGAGTTGTATATAGTGAATTTCGAACCCTGATGTCGAAGATTTTCCAGGTAAGTTGTCATCATTTTTGTGCTTCCCCCTTTCAAAAGCAAAGTGCAATATGTGTATTGCACAATATATTGATTTAGCCTCATTCTTGTTACAGAGATGGAGGTGATCAGTATATAATAAACCTACAGAGTCAAAGGTCAATTTCAAGGTATCTTTCCATGCAGTGGATACATCTAGGGTACCTTTTTGACCATTTCGTGTCGAACATTTTACATGGGTGGTTATAAAAAATTCACAGAATCAAAAGGTCAACATTTCCCTGTAGTCTAACAGTGTTAAAGACATGATGTATAGGGTCATAATTTTTTATCTTTCAGTCACATTCTGAAGAGGTGTTTACTGACCTGAGGAATACACTTTCAATTTTCTGCAAGTTTTTCAAGTGTTGTAGATATCTTCAGTTTCACAGAATGACAGTTGTTTTTACCTTTAATCTGAATCAAGATTTTTGTCAAATTTTTCTTCCTTTTTTCACTAGCCAATTGAACTTTATTACAGTTTTTATTATGCCGGGGGTATAATTGAAAAAAAGATCCCGGGGGTATATTGTTTATGTCCTGTCTGTCTGTTTATCTGTTTGTCTGCTTGTCTGTCTGTCTGTTGTCAACTTTAACCTTTCCCATAACTTTTGATTGGTTGGAGCTATGACTTTCATATTTCACATATGTAATCCTTGCGACAAGACCTTCCTTTGGATACCAACCACCACTTTGACCTTTTGACCTTGACCTAGGAGTTTGACCTACTTTTGAAAAACTTTAACCTTGGCCATAACTTTTGAATGGTTGATGCTAGGGCTTTCTAATCCTTGTGACAAGACCTTCCTTTGGATACCAACCACTTTGACCCTTTGACCTTGACCTAGGAGTCTGACCTACTTTTGAAAAACTTTAATCTTGGCCATAACTTTTGAATGGTTGGTGCTAGGGCTTTCTTCACATATGTAATCCTTGTGACAAGGTCTTCCTTTGGATACCAACCACTTTGACCTTGACCTTGACGTTTGACTTTTATTTAAAAAACTTTAACCTTCGCCATAACTTTTGAACAGCTGTATCTAGGTCTTTCAAATTTCACAGATGTATTCCTCGAGACAAGACCTTTCTTTGGGTATCAACATTTTTTTTCTTTTGGCCTGGATTTTGACTTGCATTTGAAGAAACTTTAACCTTCGCCATAAGCTGCCATAGGCATCAGTGTTTCACAAACACATCTTGTTTTTTTTTTATTTTGTATCTTGCAGAACCTCTTTATCCATGAATGTGCTATAAGCCATAAAATTCTTACTACAGAGTTTTGGATCAGATGGGAACATTTACTCATGGTCTGTTTACAAGGTCATTGTAAGTACAATAAGAATCAAAACACACACACTTCATGGCAATATATTTATTAGACACAGTTTTAACTTTTAAATGACCAAAAACTGAAATCTCCAAAAACAAAAACAAAAAAATTTGTTAGAGCTACTACCGTAGTATTAAACAAATACCGTTACATTTCAAAGTAGCAGCAAAAGCAAAAAAATCTTCTATGGCTATTTAACAAAATTTTACAATTATTTAACAAAATTTCCATGCATTCTTCTAAATGCTATGTTCACATTATCTTTCAAAGACAATTAAACTGACACAGTGTTGAGATAGGTCAATAATGGTTACATTTTTTCATTTACATTTAAATATCTACTGAATACAGCACTTGCAACCGATTTTTCAACATTTTTTTAGGGCTACATCCAGGACAGGAACATGTAGCTTTGAATACTCAGTAATTTCACAAATTCTCAAAAAAAAAAAATGAAAATGTATTATTTATCTTCCCTAAAACATGCACTAAGCATGTATATGTACCACTTGGTACACATTCCCTGCATATTAAAGCTCTCTTTATTTAATCATAATACATGTATTCATACAGTCATAACACTGTATTTCAAAAACATGATCGGTTTATGACATCCATGATTCTAAATATAAACATATGAGTTTTACTAAATGAACCTTTTTTTATGTTGTTTTTTATTTTTGTTTTGGAAAACTTAGCTATAAAAAAAAAGAAGAAAAAAAATAAAGAGTAAATCCCTATTTTAACAGAAATTACCAGGGTACAACAAAACTGAAAAAAAAAATGAGTGAGCTTTGTTCTGTCTTGTGAAAACAATCTTCAGAAGTTCCTGACATTCATACTAAATAACTCTATGAGAATTCTTTGACAGCTTCATCTATTTCATCTATCTGTTCTTTTAATCTGTTCCACTGATCTTTTGTCAAAGAGATGCCTGAAACAGAAAAATGAAAGGTAAATGATGCACCATTAATACTGAAATAAATAGAAAATGAAAATGTGCATGTCCATCTATGTGTTGTGATAATATATTTTAATATTAAAACACAATTAAACACTGACAGTACAAAACATAACTGTAAAGAAACACAAAGGGGTACAAAATTAAGGCTTTTTTTCATAAAGAGATATGTGTCTTCATCTCTCCCTGCACAGTATCTTATGTCATCAGCCCAATATCTGGATGATATGACCATGTTTACAGAAGACGATATATGTACAGTCAGTGAAACTTGATTATGAAGAACATGCTTTTCAAGAATTCTTAGTTGAAAGGTCTTTTTTATGAATTGCACTATTCCTTACACAGATATAAATTAAGAGTCTCTATTATATATAAGAAAGTAAATTTGAAGTCCCAGTGATTTCCTTATATCGTTGAAAAGTCATAAGTTTTTAAGCTGTTGATTTTGGTAAAATTTTGTGATTTCAAATTTTCCAAAAGTTCCTTGGAATTTTTAAGTATCCACACCTGATTTACACCACTTCTCGAATATATTGTTGCACAGTGCTCTTGAAGTTTCTCCTTCACTACTGTTAATAGCTTAGTGAGGAGTAAAGAAAGAGGCTAGATTCAAAAGACCAATATCCATCAACTCAAGGGCTAGATAATTTACAATATTTGTGAAAAAAAAACTTCAATGTAAATCAAATCAACTATGACAAGATCTAGAAATTTTATGATATTTGTGAAACGACTTCAATGTCATAACGCCTTGACCTTTTGATCTCTTTGGACATGAACCCTCTTTTTAAACTTATGAGATGCCACAAGATTGTGGACAACAACATGCCAAAGTCAGAATTCACGTGAATATACCAGTAAATATTTCTAATTTTGGCCCTAATGCAACTCCTGATAATGCAATAGCTAGAAGGCAAAACGGTGGCAAAATTAAGAAATACACCTGTTTTCTTGTCAGTGTTGAAGACTGTTTTTTTTTTAACAAAAATTTTTTTCTGAGCAATGGCATCAGCAATTACTGGTGATAAAATTTGGAACTGCTTAATAATAATTAAAAATGTTTTAAATCTATACATTGTACTGCTTTTTTGTACAATGTTTGACAAAAATTAAAATCTTTACATCATTCGAGAAAAACAATCTCGAATACCTTTCTTTCCTGGCTTAAGTTCTCCTCCAGCATCGTAGAATTCTCTTATTCCTACCATGACATTGCCTCGAAACTCACTGACTGTGGCATACCTCATCCTAGATAGCTACAAAAGCAGTTTGTAACACAATGTCATATAGAATATAGTATGGACTTCTTTAAATTATATCTAAAATAGTTCAATGAAATCATCTACTTGCTATAAGACAAGGTATAGTTAACATATCTCTATAAGCTGTGTTTACTCAATGTATGCACTTTCACATAATCATGTTACCATATTCAGGACCCTTAAACTTTGTTGAGATGATTTTAAATTTCTTAAAACACTGATATACAATTACATGTATGTGTAATCAACCAGCTTAAACAGAGAATCTGCAGTAGCTGTCCAGGAAGAAACTGAATAAGAACATTAAAACTTTTTTATACTCTACTTCTTGTATATAAAAAAAAAATATAGTTATATATATTACATTAAAACTGTAGGAAAAAAATACATTTAAACTGCAAAAGTTAATTTCCTGAATGGTTTAAAACTTGTTATTACACCTCTACTGATTTTTTCTTTATATAACATTAGATCGTTAGATGTGACCAATTCCCTAGAAATGGTTTTGAATGGACTAATCCCCGTGCATTAGTCAAGTGAGCTAATCCCTGCATCAAATGCTAATTCCCGGTTATCCGTAATCCTCTAGATTTTACTTTTACATTGGTATGGTAGTGAATGATCTAATCTCCATGTGATAGTTTAGTGAGCTAATCCCTGCTATGAAATCACGCTATCTGAATCCTCTAAATTTTACGTTTGTATCGGTATAATAAAACAGTTAAAAGTATATCATTGCGGGAGTTAGCAAGATTTCAAATCCCCTCGACCAGGACTATTTCCCTCAGCTTCCCCTCGGGAAATAGTCCTGGCCTTGGGGAAATGGAATCTTGCTAACTCCCTCAATGATATACTTTAACTGTATAATGACTCACTGCAGTTTTTCCGATATAAAACTGACCTGAAACATGTGTTCCCCTCCTGGACCTTTTGAAGATGCTGATTTTTCTTCTTTTTTAGATTCTTTTTTCTCTTTCTTTTCTACCTTCTTCTTTTTCTGTTTGGGCTAAAAATAATAATACAGCATCTTAGTTTGTATTATGCATGCATGACTAGGATTAGTTTTTTTTCTCTCTCTCTGCAAAGTCTTGTACATGTACTTGACAAACTTTTCATAGTTATAGCCATGTATAATATGTACAGATCATTCTGAGCAATAAAAATAGCTTTTACCTATTACCTCTAACTTCATTGTCAGGCTTAGTTTAGTAAGTTCTATCCAGACCTGAGTCTTAATTATTTGAGTCTGAGAAGAAAAAATTTTTTTAAAAAAACACTGGCTTCTTCTTGCTCTCATGACTGAGAAACCAGGTCCATTAACATCAACTCTCTCAGATTTACAGTACTATAACCATCTTTAAAAGGCTTCTAAAGATCCAATCCAAGATTTGACTGTCAATTTTGAGAGTTCGAATATGAAAACAAATGTGAATTGGAGAAAATGTAGTTTCACAGATGGGCTTCAAATTGAGAAACTTCTGCACAAATGTGATGATCACTTTAATATCAAATGTACATGCAACCTGTATAGTTCAAATGCACCACATTTACATTTAACTAGTAAACAAATGTCCCGGTGGCCAATGAAGATAAAGCAGTAAACCACTAAAAACAGTCATAATCCATATATAACTAAGAGGATGATTAAACAAGACACATAAACTGATTATAGCCTACGAAATTAAGGAATACCTACAGGTAATAAGAAATGCAATGACAAACAACTGAAGTCTGATGAAAGCAGATTATCCCGATGTGATGTGCAACCAGTCTTAATAACAAACAATCATAATGAACCAGGTTATCCTTTTCTTGCTTAGGGAGGGCAAAGGAATAGATGCTTTTGAAGCCCTACCTGGAGCCAGTGGAAGTAGGGGGATTATTTGAAGTAATTTAGCAAAGTCCACTGTTTATTAAATCTGATATCTGGGTTTACTTAGTTAGGGTGGTTAAGCTAACAACCTTTCACAGCTATAAAATTTCTTTAATCTCTTAGTGTTGTAACAATATATGCTTAGCTTGCAAATCATCACGAGTTAGTTTGAATAAAGCAGTCTTGAGTCATTACATCATTGGAAAGAATGTACATAATCTAAAACAAAACCAACTAAATCACAACTCAAATGTCAATACTATAAATGGTTCTGAGGCAATTATCGTCTCCAATTAAACACATCACTTACCTGGTCATCTGAGTCTGATTCTGAGGAGGAAATAAACTCCTTAGATTTTGGCATCTGTAAAAAATGAAAATAAGTCTTTATCTTACATAAGATAAAGTGAAGTCCCTCAGTTTTGTCTGGCCTGCAAGAACTTAAAAGCATACTGTACCAAAACATTGATCTTGATCTGCCAAGCAGACTGATTTTCTCTGTTCTCTGACAGTGAACATACTTATCTTATTCGATACTGACCTTTTTAAAAAAAAATAAATCTCCTGAATTGCGTCGTATCTTTTCTCAGATTCCTTTCTTTGTCTTCCTTTCCTTTCCTCTCGGCTTTGCTTTCCTTTCCCGCAAACTTTTGTATATATTTGGTATACCGATCCCGATTTGCTTCTACAAGATTAGGATCACTACCCCCCCCCCTTCCTTTTTTTAAAATATATACAAATGTAGGAAAATATGGGTTTATTTTAATTTGCATAAAATATATGTGTGCACATAATGATCTAATATGATTTTTTATGGATCACATTGATGGGTGGTTAAAGGTCATACACCCTTATCTTGAAATATTAGGCTTTTAGTGTACGTGTCGAGAAACTATATGTAATATGTAAGTGGTGGTATCATGATAACTGATTTTTGCGTATAGTCGAAAGATAATTTGAAGACTTCATAGAATAAATCTTTTTTTTCTTGAGCTTTATTGATTTAAAAAAAAATCACTTAAAGCTAGTAGAAACACACACTGTTTAGTTGTTCAATCAATCAATGAAAATACATGTTATTGCATGATCAACGACATTTGGAAAAACCTGTCGCTTTTCAATATTATTTTTGTTTGGAAAAATGCTCGCCATTTTTAATATTATTAAAATACCTTAATATATAAAACATGAATGATTTTTTATTTAATGCACATTTATCTTTAGTTTGGACTTCCAGAAGGTGTTGACATGCTCATATTTACGTCACAACTAACTGTCAAACAGTTCAAAATCTAATTTCATAGGGACTTTTCTAATGATCCTATTAACTAGAAATTTTGCACATTTGTTTTATTTGTTATTGATAATTTGTTGGCGAATTTTCATGAATTGACTATAGCTCTTTTCTTTAGGGAATTATAAAGTAAATGTCTCGATGATTTCCGAATAGTCCTTGTAGACAACGTTATTATAGTATTTAACATCAGAATGGCCGTTAACAGGGAAAAATCTGATAAATTTCATGGAGTTAAGTTGGGGCAAACATTGTTTCCCGTGCGATCAAAAGGTTAAGCTTTCGCCATAGCGTGGTTTTGTAAGCAACACCTGAAAGTCCAAGCTATCGGTAGAAATGTTCTATTGGACAGTTAGATATACATATTTTAAAGTGAAGTTGGAAACGACTTCGGATCAGATATGTTAGCTTTTTGTATTTTGTAACTTGGTAATTAAGTCTACAAAAGATAACTCGAATCACTGATTTGTCTTATTGTAATTTTTGGAGAGAGAGAAAGAGAGAGAGAGAGTTGTTTAAAATCTAGAATCCAATTGCAAAACCCACGAATATAGGAGGAATTTTGATGAGAAGTAAATTCAAATACAGGTACAAATACACAACAGACTTTGACATTTGTAAAGATTTATTAATAAGAAAACCAATATTATTACCTAAATTGATGAAGTTTATATTATATGGATGAAATAAATTATTGCATGTGCGTGATAATAGATATAATATTGTATCAAATGATAGTCCTTATTTTTGTAATTGAAAAAATACCAAATGATATTTTACAAATTGCTAAAACAGAAAATAAATCCTTGTTTATTTCAGAAAAAGTTGTTGATCCGATTTACAGCACGTATTCCTTCTAAAATTAGCAATTACATGTACAAAATAAAAATTGTACGAACCCTTGTTTTTCACACCATATTTCATTTATATTAGAAAATTTCCCAAAATTCAATACCTTAAACATGTATACATGAATCCAATAAATACAAGGGTGGATCCAGGTTTTTTTTTTTTTTTTTTATTGTTGTTGCTGAGAGAAGGGTGTATGAAGAAAAATGATCTTGAAGAGGAGAGTAACTCATTAAAACTGCCTTTAGATAATTATATTCATCTCCAAGATTAGAAGGCTGGGGCGGTCTCATTTCATTCAGTTTGGCAATAACAAGAGGGAGTGCTTATTGGAATATTGGCACCAGGTTTGATTAAATTGGTATTTACGTGAAAGATTTTACAGGGATAAAAATATTAGAGATCTATATAGACATGGACTGATTCAGATCTATATTAAACATTTCAGATAAACTGAGGGAAAACATAGCCCATGAGGCCAAGAATCTCCCATTTTCAAAGAAATAAAATATGAGAATGTCAAAAGAAATTAAAGAAAAACCATGCATTTTCTCTCTCTCTCTCTCTCTCTCTCTCATATCATTTTACGAATATTTTTTGACAATGCCATAGTGCTAAAACTGTTATCTGCTTTTTAAATCATTGTACGTATCTTCTCCACGGTTGAATAATCAAAAAAATTGTCATCAGATGGGATTTAAAAGCATGTTACAGATCTTTAGATGTACATTAGGCACCTAAAAATGGCATCTTTTACGCGGCATTGTGTATGGAATAATACGCCGTAAGAATAACCCTATAGTGCTCTGCCATCAGAGGTTTGTGCAAATATAAGAGCCACGAGACGACGTATAAATTGGTCCCTCTGAATAAAATCTGATTTTGGATGACAACAATAAAATGAATTCTTTAACATGGATATGACAGGTTGAAGGAATTAAATTGAAAAAGTTATCTTTTGTTTGTTATTTTAAAACTTAACAGTCGTAAGCCGCTGTCTATGTTGAAAAGTCCAAATGCACACGAAGTTCTTTCACATAATTAAATTCCTTCTGCAGTAAAATCCGCTATAGTGGTGGGAGCAGGTAAATTTAACTGTTTCTTTATACCGTGGTGTTTAACAGGATACGAAATCGTTTGCTTTAATACATTTTACAATTGGAGGCATGTTCAACATCAGGATATTGGAATAAAAGTCCGTTGATGTGAAAAGTCATGTCTAACGAGGAGAGCTGGGTTTTCTACTACAAGAAACAGCAGACCATTCCGAACATGTAAGACCTTAATATTTATCTTTTTATTTTGTTCATACGTATACATATATGTATAATACATTTGTTTTAGATTTGAAATACAATTTTATACCATTGGTACCAGCAGTCACGGCTTTTTAAAGGTATCGACATTTTTGTTATAATTTTTAGATTAACAAAATTATACTGGCCATTTTACAAAATAAAAAAGTGTACAGCATGCTGACTTTATTGATGCTTTTTAATATTATTTAATTTTTCAGAAAGATTTTTTGGGTGAAAACATATTAATTATCTCTCATAAGAGCTCTTTGAGAAACACGTTTTTTTTTGTTTTTTTTTTATACAATGTATATATAAAAAACATGATCGATAAATCAATACATATGGAAAATTATTCTAAAAAGTCAGAGATTTTCCTGAATAATTAATGTAGGAAAACGTCAAGCTTAAATGCTTTGAGAATTGAAACGACCATTCTCTCCTTCCGATTCCCCTTAAAAGCGCATATTGAATCGATGTGTTTCTAAAAGCTTGATTTCAGCGCCGAGATCAAAGATAAGCGTTTTGTGCACAATGTAGCCCTTTCAAATATTATTAATATTTTGATCGTTTTGTCACAGTTAAATCAATGAAAAACCTAGAGCAAACATGCTTTATCTTAAAGCGATTCAAAACACCACATTTTGGCATCTATTGAAAAATCCTTTAATTCTACTAATGGACGTGTTTTCACTTGAAGATTTTTTTTAAAGTTTTTTTTTTTTAAATATTCCGATAGAAACAAGACTATTCGTCTTACAACAATGACTTCATTATAATTCCACCCAAAATGGACCGGGAACGTATATGCATCTGGGTTTTTTTTTCAGACTATGATCAAATTCGTATAGCGTTTCAAACAGGCGGACAGATAAACGGGCGAATTGCGGTCTTCGAATTACCTTTCTAAACCTTTAAGAGGCTCCGAGACACTCAAACAAATGTCTAAATATTACCGGATGATTTTCTATAATCTTAAGTTTAAATATATACGATCTAATTTAGATAGGCTCAATATCTGTTTAAAATTTCCATTTAATACCATTGTTTGCTCAGACCAACATTGATAGCCCTAACGTACAGACTAATTAGAAAGCACGATAAATATAGGTATAGAAATTCATTCAACATTTCATGATATCTTTATGACAAGGATCTAAGCAACACATAACTACCTATATTCGGAGAATGTACTTGATCTCATATCCGGTTTTCTTAACCTTTTCTCTAATGATTTAAGGTTCATTGACCCTCTGATAAGGGAGATAACTCTTAATAAGATAAATGTCTATTATTTCTTCATAAATTTGTTAAGTTGAAAAGTTTTTTTTTTGACCAATTTTGTCCCGTAAGCTATGCTAAAATTGTTTGCATTTTACTTATAAAGTAATATTCTTCTGGAAAATCATAAGCATTAAAGCAGTATTTTATGATTATGAATCCTAAAAGAATGAAAAGGAATATGACGCATTACAAGTGCTTGTTTCAGAAACTTCCTGGCATTGAAACGTTTGTATCAGGCACAACACACCACTGAAAATTTTTACATTTCCTGCACAATCTTACAGCGGCTCTATTTTTGCTGAGTTTGGAGATGACTTAAATCAAAACCAATATAAAGATGAAATAGTTCATTTATTAAAAATGACAAAAATGATGAAAAATATATATGTATAGCATAATAAGGGATCAGACCAACAGCTAGAGACACAATGCAAAATAACATTTCAATGTGCTAATCCCCTAAATAACAGATGAACAAATGAATATAATTTAAAAAACCCACAAAATACATTATGTATACAACAAAAAGATGTTACATCGAAATCATTTTTAATTTGAAAATCGTTTATCACATTTAGCGGAATGTTCGCAAGTTTGACATAACATTTTTTTTTATTTGTTGCACCCAACCCTTTTTGAACACTTACACTGTACAAAGCAGAGCAATTCTCATTATAAAACATGTATCAAATAATTCATTGAATGTAATTTTTAACATGCATTTATAATAAAGATTTTTGCAAGTAATGTGCTTTAAAGTTCTCGTTGTTATCGAAAGAGGTAGGCGGATTTTCATCTTTCTAAAAAAAAAAATATTTTTATTCATATAATTATCTTACAGCCATCTAGAGTCAAACTCTTATCAGAAGATAAATAAAAGTTAAACAAATTTCCATAAATCGTGGCGACAAGGAAATTCTGCTCAAAACATCTTAGTGAGAATTTGTGACCTGAAAAATTGTTTCGTCACCAAGACGAATCAATAATATTTTCGAAAAGATAGAAGTATGATTTATAACTGAAGCATGTCATTAGTTTTTGATACCTACACGAAACGAGTAGAAGGAATTTAATAGCTCTTGCTTTTTAATATTAACTGTTTAATGGCAACAGTTACTCATCTCAAATTCTAATATATGGGGACTGGTTTAAAACTGTATAAATTTTATCTATAACACATATAAGGGAAACAAAATTTATTGTGCATGAAAGTTGAGAGAAATTCCTGCAAAGAATTTAAGAGGAATGGATGAAATATTTGATATTGATTAATAACAAAAATCAAATCTAAGTTATTGTGAGAAATAGAAAATAGGATATCGATTTTCAGTTACATTAAAAGCAATGTAACAGTACTCATACTACGTGTCCCTTTAACAGATGCTAGTACGTTTTAACTGCTTTTTAAACCGACCCCCCACCCCCCCAAAAAATTAAGTTTCAAAACTATATTTTTATTCATGGAAGATCTGTTAAAATTCCTCAATTTATAAAACCCCTAAAAACCTACCATACACATTCTTTTTGCTTCGAATGCCTTTAAGTTAATTCTAATAATTGGATGCATCAGCTAATTTAGAAAAGTAAATTAGTTAATTAGTTACAACTTTTCTTTTCAATCTTTAGAGATCGTATGCCCATACACCATCTGAGTTGCCCACGAGAAAGGAAGCGGATCATCCGAGTATCAAACAAAAACAAGAAGTCAGCAGACGACACTGAGGAGAAAGAAAATGAAAGACGATTCTCGTCCTTTCAGAGGAAACGTCTAGATTCTGATCAGCTAGATCTGGAGCTTCGGGTGTCGGACACAGATAGCGATAATGAAGGTACAGTGCCATCGACTAATTTGCCTATTCCATCTTTTCATTTCTTCTTTGAAATCCTTTCCTTATCCTTGCCTTCTGAAACACATTTCATCATCGTAATGGGAACATTATGATATAAGAAATATAAAATGCTCTAATTCATTCATCTTTGTTTCCAAATAACGGTATATTTTGTAAAGTTTAATGGCCTATAAATCCCTAAAGTAAGAGGGGACAGGAGGTACAGTGTATCCTTCTCTCACCCACGATTCTCCATTCCCTCTTCCAAACCTTTCTTTCCATTTCACCATACCTTCCTGGTTCTTCTCTCCTCTTACCCCCTCCCACTAAAGCCTTCCTCTTTCTTACATTCTACTAACACTTTCTCAAAGAGAGTGGTTAGAAACATGTAAGCAGTGAGGATTCCTTCCGTGCCAGCATATTCTGCGACTCGGGGCCTTGATTTATACGGTCTTGATTCTCGAACGAAAAAGATCCCTCATTGCTCAATGGCTATGTACATACGTAAAAGTGCCGAGTATACAGGTCTAATAATTATCCGAAGTTAAATGACGAAGACTTTTTTTTTTACAAATAGATGGCCAGGAAGATGAGAACAAAATAAGTCAACAAGTTTACGTTAACGCTTGTAAGCATCTCCACGTCACACCCGGTAAAAAGATATTACGTAGTTTGGCATCCACGCAAGTGTCAGCGAAGGAGCGGATCGTGAATCAGAAAGAGGTGGAGTCCATTGCATATGCCCTTGCTGTAAGTAATAATGCATCGATGTAGATATTTAACGTATATATCTCTATGATGTATAAGTTATGTATATTTTAGCATCATTGAGTACCAATATGTATAATTATTACTAGACTAGTGTATATTAAGTTTCAACCTTTGGATCAATTAAAAATCCGAACGATTTACTTTAGATTTGCTCAAGATTCTCCGCTAAGTTTCTTTATCTAAAATTTCCTTTCCTCTGTCAGTCTTTCAATATTTTTCTAAAACGTAACTTGACATTATAAGCAAAGAGAAAGAGAGCCAAGCACACTAGCGAATAAATACACCATTCTAAATTTTGTACTGGCTGACCGTTTCTTATTTAGCAGAACGGAAGCAACCTATAACAGTTCAAATGCAATAGTTTTCGTTCATACATTTAATTTGACTTCCATTTTATTTTACTATCTACGAAAAAAATCTTGTAAATACACTTTAAGGCACAGTTTGTTTCGTTTTCAGACAAATAGCTCCGTTACATCCTTAGATTTGTCCGGAAACAACATTGGTCACGAGGGTCTCCTGAACGTCTTGCGCATGCTCGACGAGAACACCAGCATCACATACCTCGTAAGTCGTTTACCACTTTTAATACACAGATTGTGCTGTTTAAATCCTTTTAACTTTGTGTTACCGTGATAGTTTGAACAGCCCAAGAGTAAATGTACCAATTTGTGTATCGAGTTTAAATATTTACATAAACATTCAAATAAAAGTGCCATTTAGATGAATCCAATTACACAGAAAGTATTTGTGGTATATAATTCAAATAAAACAGGTAAACTCAGAAAGTTACATACAGGTGTAAGGTAATTTTGGATTTTTTTTTTAAAGAAATCACTCACATTTATGAAATAACTCGAGGTTACTTAATTCAGTGGGCAAGGAGGGGCTTAGATCGCGTTTTACAGAGAAGATTTTCATACAGTTTGTGTGGAATGAAATAGTTATAAAATTGAATAGATTTAATCAATCATTTTGTTGTTCTTGTTCATTCAACGTTGAGTACCAGGATGTTCATTTTGCGGAAGACATTAACTGTTAAAATGTAAAACACACATACACATTATTAGTCCCCTGCCGGTGAAACCGGAGGGGATTATAGGGCCCTGTCACACCAAGCTGCGTCCACAAGGAGTTATTACGGCGTTGTTAATTTTTAAAATCGCAGCGGAATCGCAGGGAATTTCTGTAAAATTTTCACAATGTGAAGATGTCACGGCGTCCCTACGGCGACCCACGCGTTGATACGGCGTTCTCGCGGCTTGCTACTGCGTTCCCACGGAGATCTCTTCGCGATTGACTGCGCTTCCACGGAGCTTTTACGGCGTGTTAGGAGTTGTCACCTCGTGTTCACGGCGTTCTCACTGCTCTTGCTGCGTTCACAATGCGTTCTTCACTATGAATATATATAGAGAGGGAGTGTAACTCATTTTTTTCAAAGATTCACGTCACATGACGAAAAGACTTCTACTTATGCCACGAAATATTCTTTAATTAAAAATGTTCTACTTGAATAATTTAATACTAAATTATTGATAGTTTTATTATTAAAACCCTTCTTTTTTTCAATTATATCAATTCAGATGTGTTTTCATCTTTTCTTTGATTTTATTATGAATGTAAAAAATAAACACACTGAAAAGTTGTTATAAGATTTAAGTAATTCCACCGTAACTCCACTGAAACGACAGAACAAGTTCTGGTGTAATTTTTACTTCCCAATTCTACTCCCATGATCCTGGTCAGGAATGCAACAAATGTGTTAGAATTATTGCTGATCAAATATGAGGCCATTGCTCTTGTTTTGTGAGCTTGCAGACAACGCTCTAACAACGCCGTGAAAGCGCACTGTGATCGCCAATGGACGCGGTAGAAACGCCAAGGGAGCGCAATGATCGCAGTGACAACTCCTTGTTGTCGCTGTGTAGTCGCAGTCAAAAAACCACAAGACAATTAATTCTAATCATTAAAAGCGCGATAGAAACGCAGTGACATCTCGAAGGACTCCGCGAGGTCTCCGTGGAAGCGCAGTCTACTATCACTGCGTTCATGCTGCTATTATGTGCGTCTTCACGGCGTGCGTACGGAGCTCCCACTGCGTTGTTGGAGATTTCACCGCGCTGCTACGGCGATCCTACTACGTTTCTGCTGCCTTCCTATCAGACCGCCATCACACGGCGCGTACTTTGTGCATGCCCAAAGTGCGCGCCGTCCCCTGGCTTTCTAGGAGACCCTACGCGACCCTACCGCGTTCAGTGGAGATCTCGCCACGTTGTCACGGCGCTGTAGGAGACTGTGCGCTCACCTCGGCGTTTTACATTTTTTATGGACGCTGTGCGATCGCCGTGAGGACGCAGTCCCGGTGTGACAGGGGTTTAAGATCTATAGGTTTCTTCTGTGGCTGTCTGTCCGTCCGTCTAGCTGTCTCTCTGTCTGTTTGTCAGTCTGTCCCACTTGATTTTCTGCAATTTTACCATAAACGCTTGCAGATACTGAGCTGATTTTTGGTTTGTGAGTCTATCTTGATGAGTTACAGATCAACTTTACATTTTGTTCCGCTTCATTGATTTTTGACGGAATTATGACCTTTTCAATTTCAAGGGTTTCCGCAATTTTTTTTGTAAACGCTTGCAGATATTGAGCTAATTTTTGGTATGTGACTTAACCCTGATTAGTTACAGATTAAGTGTGCATTTCGTTCCGCTTCAATGATTTTTGACGGAATCATGGCATATTCAAATTTTAACGGGAACCAGATTACACTTGCCGGTAGGGGACTAGTATTGCTAATGCAGTATTCTCAGAATGCTCGTTAGTCCCCTACCGGTGAAACCGGAGGGGACTATAGGTTTCCTCTGAGTCTGTCCGTTCGTCTAGCTGTCCGTCTGTCTGTCTGTCAGTCTGTCCCACTTGGTTTTCCGCACTTTTTTTTCTAAATTCTTGCAGAAATTGGGCTGATTTTGGTATGTAAGTGTATATTAAAGAGTTACAGATCAAGTTTGAATTTCGTTCTGCTTCATTGATTTTTTGAGGGAATCACGGCCTTTTTAATTTTTAAGGGTTTTCCGCACTTTTTTCTAAACGCTTGCAGATATTGAGCTGATTTTTGGTATGTGAGTGTATCTTGATGAGTTACAGATCAAGTTTGCATTATGTTCCGCTTCAATGATTTTTTGACGGAATTACAGCATTTTCAATTTTTAATGGGAACCAGATTACACTTGCCGGTAGGGGACTAGTATTGCTAATGCAATACTCTCAGAATGCTTGTTCTTACTACTTTACACAAAACCTTTACCATTTTGCGAATTTGATGAGCCAAAGGCACCTTCTTACATCAATGGTTTAGTATATCCTAACGTTCAAGATATTCATCGTATGCATTGAATTTATTGGTCCCTACCGGTGAAACCGGGGGGACTATAGGTTTCTTCTGCGTCAGTCCGTCCGTCTATCTGTCCCTCTGTCTGTCTGTCTGTCCCACTTGTTTTCCGCACTTTTTTCTTAAACGCTTGCAGATATTGAGCTGATTTTTGGTTTGTGAGTGTATCATGATGAGTTACAGTTTAAGATTGCATTTTGTTCCGCTTCAATGACTTTTGACGGAATTATGGAATTTTCAGTTTTTAATTTTTGACCAGGATACACTTGCCGGTAGGGGACTAGTATTGCTAATGCAATACTCATAGAATGCTTGTTAAAATTTGATGGATGTCCTTCATACAATCTGATTATAACCGAACCAAAATATTATTGGGTAACACTCTTTCAAAGCAGAAAATGGGGAGCGGAACATGAAAAACAAAGGGAAAACAATATAACAATTATTTATGTTTTGAAACCAATCAATTTGATCGATAATATTTTACACTTTTGATTTCAGAACATATCTCACAACAAACTGGGTTCCAAAGCAGTGTCTTTACTCAGAGATTTGATCTCAAGCAATAAGAAAATTAAGACTCTGGAAGCTGCAGGTAAAAGACCAAAACCGATATTAAGAGGGGTTTTAAATTTTTTTCATGCTTACAAGCATTATAAAAGGCCCAAAGGCGATATGACTTAGGTGAGCGATATCGTCTTTGGGCCTCTTGTAATGCTTGTTAGCTTGAAAACATTCTGATATCTGCCTATCAATATGACTAGTTGTATCCCTTCTATCTTGCAAAGATAGATCCCAACTTTTTTTTATTGGTTTGTTCAAAGGAGACGCGACCCTTGCCTTGACGAAATTTAAATTTCCTTTATCCAAGGATGCTTGGTGCGAAGTTTGGTAAAAATTACCCCAGTAGTTTTGAGGGATTCGAAAAATAGGAAAATTAAGAGACGACAGACAGACAACTGATACTCCCTTGAGCTTAACTTTGTCTCAGATGAGCTAAAAAAGATATGTATCAATTGATAATTACTTTTCGGTCATTTCATTTCTACTGAAGATCATACGAGCTTACACATTTATTTACCCTGAGCGATTAAATATCAAATACGCATGCATCTCTCTTCTATAGACTGATTAACTTTTCTGTTCGTATTTCTTAAAAAAAAAAAGATTTTCCTTTCTTCACTTTTGTTTTCAGTTTTACATAAATTTAGACTACACACATTAAGATGCATTCTTTAACTATCGATTCTTAATTTCAAAGAAAGGTTTTTTAGCCGCATGTCACGGAAATCACAATTGCTTCATTACCATGTTGGTCCTTTCCCCTTGATTGGAAGGACATTAAACTTTCTTTTTCCTTGCTGATAAAACTGAAAAATCGATATTAGTTTCTTCGTATCACATTTATAAATATATCCTTTTGAATTTTAACTAGTCATTAATTTATCTTTAAAAGGGAACCAGTTTAATGACAATGATGCTGAGACGATAGCTGAGGGAATAAGATCGACAAACACACTGAAGTCCCTAAATCTCAGTCAGAACGCTTTCCAAGAGAAAGGAGGAGAAGATATCGCAGGAGCAATAGGTGAAACCCAGTGACCGAGATTTACTGTAGTTCCTCTTTGAAACCGTTCCTCTTTGAGTTTTATACATAGTTCATACTACTTTATTCTCTGTACATATAATTAAAAAAAATTTCCATCCAAAAAATGTGTTATACAATTTTACAGTTTTTTTTTCTTTTTCAGAGGAAAATGTATCTCTTAAAGAACTTAATTTAAGTTGGAACCATCTAAGACTAGATGGCGCAGTAGCTATAGGGGGAGCCTTAACAGTAAGCCTAATATTGGATTCATTAGAATTAGTGATACATGTATTAATAAATTATTTAAAATTTAATTTTTTTTTTTTGTAGAATAATTCCACTCTTCAAGCCTTGTATATAGCTTGGAACGGTTTTTCCAATGAAGGCTGTAGAGAGATAGGAACGGCATTACAAACAAACAACTCTCTAGAACTAATTGATCTAAGTAACAATAGGATTACCTTAGATGGAGCAAAATGGCTCGCCAAAGGAATCATTGTGAACACAAGTCTTAAGCATCTGAAGGTATATCGTTATTGTTGTTTTTAATGTTTGATAATCGAAAAGAAAACAAGTGATTGTTTTGGTCTGCCACAACTGTTTAATATTTGGGTGCTTTACTGTCAGTACACGATAAGGGCCATCTTACAACGTAACTGTATGACAAACGAGATAACTTTAGCATTTCCATCGTCAACTTTTTCTTGCATATATTTATGTAGTCATATTCCACTATCACTGCAAATGGTGTTTATGTCCCCCACCTAATTCGATACTCAAGAGCATGCTCTGAGTACGATCCGTTTTTAAACCGAGACAGGCTACTGACAAATAAGTTGAGGTCACAAGGATTTCAACAGCCTCGTCAAAAGTCAGCATTCGTAAATTCTATGGTCATTATAATGACCTTTTTAGCAAATACAATCTATCGTTGGGTCGTATTTGACTGACATATTACATATCAATTCTAGGCCTTTGTTTTTATACTAAATTTGTCTAAGATGATTACCTCTACCTGATCAATACATAGGGCTCAAGGCGGGTGTGACCGGTCGACAGGGAATACTTTCTCCGCCGTAGCACCTGATCAAACCTCTGGAATTTCCAAAAGTCCGTGTTTTATGCCCCCGTTTACAGATTTGTGTTGTTTGTAGGTTTTTCACCTATTTCACTGCAAAATGAAATGTTAAAAAATTGTAAATGTAAATTTGTTAGCGAATCTCAATAAACCCTTTACTCATATGATAAAACTGAGTAGGAAGATGTTTATTGTATTTAATCTATGAAAAATAGAAGTACTTTAGATTTATTTGTTACAAATTCACCAACCAAAAAAGAGTGTCTTCATAAAAACAAAACCTGTAATTGAGTGGTTTTGTAAGAAAAAAGTTGCCGAATAATAATTGGTTGATTTATTAGAAAATACATGTAATTCTAAATTTAGATTAGCAAAGAACCCAGAAAAAAAGAGAGAACACGTGTCAGTTGTTTGTAGATATTAAGTAAATGATTGGATAAAATTAAAGTATCGACAAAGAGCTAGATAACAGTCATCACGTTTTCTCAATTAATAAAGAAAAGTTTTATGATAAAAAATACACTGTACATGTATTTATAAAATGATTTTAGAAAGATCGTTAAAAACACTCTGTTAAAAAGTTTATTCTCAAGGTATCTTCTTGATGAATAGACGAATCTTACAGGACTGCGTGCTAGAGTCTGTGAAACAGAATTTATAATCAAAGAAATTAGGTTGGTATTAGAGGGCACTCAGAAATCACATACTAGTACACTAATCTTTATAAAACGTGTTATCTCTTCACATTACGTGTGTACATCCTTATGCAAAATTCAGAGGGGAAAATCAATAACGACACCCTATGCAACCCAACCCCCAAAAATATGCATCCTTCGGAAAACACAAGACTTATGTTTACTCCTTTATAATTTTTTGAATTTCAAAATTGCCAAAAAGGTCAGAGCGATCAAAAATCAAATGAGGGAAATTAATTTCTCCTAAGGCACTAATTTTCTAGAAATTTGAACTGAAAAATTTTCAGGAAGCTGCAGAGGAAGAATCAGGTGGGCAAAGATGGCTTTTGATTTTTTCTTTTTTCTTGTCAAAAAATTTTAAGTTCGTTTTTAAGCCCCCCCCCCCCCCCGAAATATTCTTGGATATACCTATGATAGACTAGTTCAAAAGTTTATTACTTTATCTTGTGGACGAAAAAATGGACAGGCAGAAAACAACAAGTGAAAACATTTAACCCGTTCCATCTTAGTTTTATAAAGTATTCTTGAAATCCAAGGACTTCTAATGCCGAATCGTTTACATGTATCTATTGTTTATTGTGTTATTCATAATCTGGAAACTATTTTTTTTTATATCATCATATGCGAAAAATATTTGCGCGAAATAAAATTAGTCTCATGCCTTGGGCAGAGGCTTTTAGATATTTAACATAAAAGTGCCTGTTGCAAGTCCAGGTGCAATTATTTTTTTCCAAATATAAATACAAATCAGTAGAGCTGCAGTATCATCAGAGATTTTTGGTCTCAATAATGCAGTCGAGAATAATCAATAGCATGGATCCATAAGCTTATATAGGTTGAAACTAATGTTTTAAGTATTTTTAGAAACTTGCTATTATGTGATGCTACATTATTAAAATGATTTATTAATTCGCACGAGATTTACACGGAAGTACACATGTATATTATGTATATGCTTGTAGTTTTGGCCTCATCCATGCTTTGGTTAACTTTAGATAAAAGAAATAATGAATACAAAGTTGCCCTGAATTGAAGTTATAATCTTAAATTCTTCTGCAGCTAAACCTGAATTCTCTCACGACTCTTGGAGCTAAGACGATATTACTGGCAATTCGTGATAACCCCGACAGTGCAATAAATACACTGGAACTGAAGGTAAAGAATTACATCAGCACCTGTTTGGAAAGTAGAGCAATATTTTTTGTTTTGTATACAAAAGCGTGTAATTACGGATTTTTAGCATATTTCTTCATTTAGCATTAAAATGTTTTCAAAAAATTAACCTATAATGTTAAGGTTCTGTAATTGATTTTGTTCTATATGATCTGTTTGGAGGACAAATGATAATATTCTTCCTCCTCCAACCTAATCGCCGCCCTCCTCCTCTTCCTCGAATTTCTTCCCTTTTCCTCTTTTCTCTGCACTCTCCTTTCCCGCCATTCCTTTCTAACCCATTTTTATCTCATCTATCCTATTCTTGCCCGTAAATGTTTAAGTAAAAAAGTTAACCTTCCTATCCATCCATGTATATATCTGTTCTACGAAGAACATATTCTTTAATTTAACGTTTTAATGATTTTTTAATTCGTTATGTTTTTTCCCAGGAGGTTCCTGTGTTAGAAGAGGCAATCGATATCATTGAAGAACTAAAATCTTCCCGGAAACGCTTTGTAGTAGTTCATGATGTTACAGTACTTTCTGAAGATGTTCTCAGTCTCTCAGAGTCCTCGAATAAGCCAAGAAGAAAAAAGTCCAATAAGAAATCTTCCAAATCTAAAGTGAAAAAATAGTTTTAATTTCCAATTGTTCTATTTGACTGGTTTGTTACCACTTTTGTTAATTTTATACCACTAATTTTCAATAACAGATTTTGTTTTTAAAATCTTTTAAACTTTGTGTTATTTATGATAGTTTGAAAAGCCAAGGAGCAAATGTACCAATTTTGTGTACATTAACATTCAAATAAAAGTGCCATTTAGATGAATTCAGAAACCAGAAGGTATTTGATGCATGTATATAAAATAAAACAGATATGAATTTGTTGGATCTATTCTGTGCAAAAACTGCAACTGATAAAGTTTTGATTTTTGTGTTGCTTTAAGTGGGCGTTCAAAAATTTTGCTCAATTCAGTCAAACTGAATAGATATCAATCTTTATTCTATTTTAATATTGAAGCAATTAATTCTTTCTTTCTATAAATGATTTTTTTTGTACAACTCTTTAGATCCTTTCTTATCGATGTGGAACATCTTCGTAGAACTAGGTATGTTTGGTCCATCAGAAAACAACATCATTTTGTTTTCTGTTCCAAAATGCATCCTTCTAACAGTGCCTGTTTCTAACCAGAATATTCAACAAAATCTGTTTTTACACTAAGTTCTTTAAAGAAGAAGAATGGAAGTCCCTAGTCCTTGCCCTATGTGCCTCCGGGTGCAACAAGGACTAGGTAGGTCTTTAAAGGTGTCAAAGCTTAAAGAAATTCTTCTCAAAGTGAAACAAGTCAGTTAATAAACAAAACCAGACAAAATAACTTTTAAGAAAGACAGAGGACTTGCCCATAATTATTCCTTTATTGTGTCAAGTGTGTTCATGAATATATTTGAACAACTCTCTTCTACATGGCATACTTTATTCTAACTTCTAAAGACATCTATCAATTTTTTTATTCTATTACATAATTTTGCAGTAAAGTCTGAATCCATTAACCAAAGATTTTTAATGTCTGTACTCTATTGTGCTTGAAGTAATTTTACCCACTTGGAATTTTAATGGATTTATCTTCTTATCCAACTTGATTTTAATGCAGGCATAAACTCAGAATAATTTACCATTCTAAGGCCACCATCTCTGCAATCTTGAATGATAGTACATGTATTCTTTTTATTTTATGGAATTTTTCCCCAATAAAAATATCTTTGAATATTTTTTTTATATAATTTCTGATGGTGGATTAGGTAAGGTAAGTATCACATGATTTAATTTAAAGATAATCAATATCTTAATTACAGTTAATCTACCATTGGGAGCTAATTTTCATAGTTTCCACTGTTTCAATATATTTTCAATATTACTTAACTTTGATGTATAATTGAGATTAATCATGTTATTTAAATCTACAGAAAATTTAATCCGTAAAAGATCAAAAGTTGTGCTACTCCAGTCTAACTTCCATCTAGAATGATGATGATGTACATCCTTTGAAAATGTTCTACCGCAAATCCATATCATTTTTATTTTTTGCAAATTTATTCTAAGCTCTTATATAAGTTTGCAAAGTAGTCTTATTCTCTAAGAATTCCATCCATAAGTGGTTAATGATGTCTGCGTATTGTGAGACATATGCCTCGAGCAATAAAATATCTGATAGTCTTTTGTGTGCAAAATTTAAATTTTTGTGCATTTTAAAAAATTGAATTTCATCAAGTTTTTGTCTGAATGAATTATTTCGAATACTCACTTCAAGATGCATCATTTCATGAATCTTTTTTTAAAGATAAATTTCGGTGAATAGTACATTTTCTCGGAATATTTTAAAATGCTTAGGATAAGTTTACTTTAATACATTGATTATTTCTCTTAATCTTGGAAAGGAATATCAACATTGTTTTTGTTTTGTTTTTTTTTAAATGAATTAAACACGAGGATTTTAAGTCCAGACCAGACCAGTTTCAAACTCAGAGATGATATGAAATCGACAAGTTGATACTCAACCTATTGTATCTCAGTTATAAATCTATCGCCGTTTTCCATCCTACTCACTTTTAAACTTTATCTAGTGATTAACGTGTCTTCGTTAGGGAACCAGTTTAATGACATTGATGCTGAGACGATTGCTAAGGGAATAAAATCGAAAAACTTACTGAAGTCTTTGAATGAAATGTATGGAGATAACGAACAGTATTAAAGCTCAAAAGTCCATTAAACAATACAAAATATGGAGCAGAGCAAACGCGGACCTCTTAAACATCAGAAGTGGGATCAGGTGCCATGGAGGAGTGAGTATCCCCTGCCGACCGGTCACATCCGCCATGTGCTCCTTGTAATGATTTGCAACAAAGACACTTCCCTAGGAAAAGGATGAAAAGATATTGCAAGAGCAGTTGTTGAAACCATATTTCTTTATCATGCATGAATGCATTCGAAATCTAGAAATATGAGAGACCTGATATCTTTATGCTCCTTTACACTGCAGTGTTACATACACGCTTGCCAAAAATGATTCAGTATTCTTTTTGTTTTGTTGAAAATTTGATTTCATTATATAAGCACACTCTCTTCAATTGAAACAACATCATCAAGAATAATGAAGCAACAGCTGAAGAGGGTATTAAAAACCTTTTTGTTAATTTTCCTTTCAAACATTTTGATACTGAGTGATCCTGTCAACCACTTATTAAAATGTATTTTGTTTAATTACTAGTATAGAGTATATTAGTGTTAACGTCGTAATGAAACTCTTTCAGATAGAAAAATATATAAAATATAACTTAATTATTTAAATACAATACATATAGTCAACTTGAGAATTTTAAAAAGAAAAACAGATATTTGTTAGCATAACCTTTTTATGGAGAGAGAAAGAGAGAGAGAGAGAGAGAGAGAGAGAGAGAGAGAGTAGAATGATTTCATTTATTCATATTCATACAAAAAGAAAAAAAAGTGTCTGTGAACGTGGCCTATTTTTAGATGAACTCTAGAGGCTGAGAAAATCATTTGGAAATACTCAGTAGTTTATCAAAATAGTCTCTAAAGCATCTTAGAATTTTCTATGCTTTATGTTTGACTCATTAAATGTAGTTGTGAAAAGAAAACCAAAAATCCCTTAACTTTTAAAGACAAACTAAAATATTGATGATAATACAGCTTCTTAAAATCTTTTTTCTGGTTTCAAGAGAACTTTAAAACAGACTGTTAAATTGAAACATATTTACTCTAGTATTTTCTCGATAAAAATAATGGCATTTTAATGTAACTTACACAGAAAGCCAACCAACAGAAAAGACATTACTTTAGGTTATTTTAAATTAAAATCGTGTCTTTCTGAGGAAATATCAAACATAATCTTTTTCTGAAATAAAAACTTTGAGTTAAGAAATAATGTTATAGGAAGCAGCGGCGTTTTGTAGTCTGTCGGGTTAATGGCCGTTGGCTTGATTATAGAATTTTAAGACATCTTGCGTCATTCTCTCTTTTGGGTGACTTTAAATGACTTTAAATTACATGTTTTTGTATTTTTTTCTTTTCTGATTAAATTTATCTTTAACTCAGCATTAACCACAATATTTGAAACTGAGGGGTTTTATACTATGATACATAGTTCTTTATTCTGTGTGCATATCCACTGTAATTTTGTAAATCTACCAAAAAATATAATACAATTGGTTATTGATTGTATGTTGTTTAAGGTCCCTCACGAGAATTTTTCACTCATATGGAGACGCCACCACTTGCCGGTGGAGGGCTACATATTTTGACCTATACTCGGCACTGAGGGCCATTGAGCAGTGAGGGATCTTTTTCGTGCCAGCACCTACTGCGACACGGGACCTCGGTTTATACGGTCTCATCTGAAGGACCGGTCTCCACGTCCCGCAGTGGGATTCGAACCCTCGATGTAAGGATCAACTTCTTACTTCGTGACTCTAGAGCAGACGCATTAATCACTGCGCCACGCAGGCGACCAATTGGTTATTGAAAAAGGATGAGAAAGTATAATTTTCTATACACGCCATTCCTTTTGAGAGGAAAATGCATCTCTCAAAAAGAACTTAAGCTCGAATCATTTAAGACGTAGATGACGCAGTAGCTAAAGGGAGAACGTTCACAGTAAGTCTGTCCATTTAAGGTTCAATGATACTCTGATAAGAGAGATAACTCTTAAAGAAATAAATATCTATAGTTTCTTTATAGATTTGTCAAGTTGTAATGTCTTTATTGTTCAAATTTGCCTCGCAAGCCATGATACAATTGTTTGTATTTTACTCATAAAATACATTTATTCTGGAAAATCATAAGCGTTAAATCAACATTTTATAAGAGTGAGCAGAGGGTTTTTTAAACCTTAATTGGATTTCCCTAGACTTATTAGTGTTCATAAATTATTTCATACAGCGGTTATTTTATTTTATTTATTTATTTATTTATTTATTTATTTATTTATTTTTTTTTTTATTTATTTATTTATTTATTTATTTACTTATTTATTTATTTATTTATTTATTTTGCAAAATGGTTCTACACTTCAAGGCTTGTATATACCGTGGAATAATTTCTCCAATGAAGGTTGTAAAGAGATATGAATGGCACAACAAACAAATAAACTGCTGTAGCACAGTGGTCAGAGCATTTGCTCTAGAGTCACGATGTAAGGAGCTGATCCTTACGTCGCATATTTAAATCCCACTCCGGGAAGTGATGACCAGTCCTTCGGATGAGACCATTTAAACCGAGGTCCCGTGTCACAGTAGGTGCTAACACATGCTCAATGGCCCTAAGTACCGAGTCTAAATTTGCAGCCTTCACCTTCAAGTGATGGAGTCTCCATAAGAGTGAAAATTTCTCAAGAGGGACGTTCAACAACAAACAAACAAACAACTCTCTAGAACTAATCTAGATGGAACAAAATGGCTTGCCAACGGAATCTTCTGAAGGTATATCGTTAGTGTTGTTGTTTTTAAGTTTGTTCATCAAGAAGACAACAATAAATGATTATTTTGCAAAATGGATTTTAAAAAAGTTGTAAATGTTCTAACTTGTAAAAGAAATTCATCAAACCCTACACTCTTAGTACGTAAATGAGTTAAAAGGTATTTTGTGTATATTTTTAATGAAAAATATTAGTATTT